CTCACTAACTACACAAGGACGTTCCATCGCACGCTTCTATCTCGACCTTGACCTTGACCTTGACCCCCGATGATTGTCAACTAACGGAATATCGTTAGTGCGCTCGATCATGGCCGTCGACCCTTGGGTGTAGTTAAGTTAGTTGGTTGGCTGGTTGAGCGGAAGCTCGCTGCTGCTGCCGCTGCTGCTCGACAACCTCCATCTCCGTCCTCCTCTCGCCCTTCCTACTTCTTCGCCCTTCGCCCTCACCCTTGCGTCTGCCTGCAGAGGCTCCAGGCTGCTCCGTCCGACGGCTCTGCTCCCTCTCCCGCTCCCGGCCATCGCTTTTGATATATCTCACGGCCTCCTCGCACGTCGACTCTGGCGTCTGGCTCTCTGCCAACTTCCGTTTCCCCCACTACCACCGCCGCCGCCTTGAGATACCGTTGAGGGATACGCAACGAACTCCCATTGCTCCTGGTTCTGGATCTCTCTTGCTCCATTTCATATCTTCCTGTCATATTGTTGAACTGGAATGATCCCTGCTGGCTCCAATTAGCTGCTGCAGATTACATGACAGTCGGATCAACCTCTCTTCTCTCTTATATATATCATTCACCTGCCCTTGCATAGTATATTCTTCTTATCTTCACTTCTACCCTTTTTCCTATATTCACTTTATATTCATTTATATATACCACCGCAGCTTTTCTTCCTCTTGAGAGTCTGCCATTGCATCATATCAGCATCAGCATATATATTCTATACCAGGACACCCAATCAGGCCTTTGCTTGTTTCCTTTTACCTTTCCTTCTTCTTTTCTCTGCCTTCTTCTTCTTCTCATCTTGCACTGAGTTCTGATATCTATATCCTTAATACGCACGCTGTGGTGGTGGCCCAGTAACAGGCTTAATATACTGGGATATTCCAAAGAAATAAAGAATAACCCATTGTCTGCCTTCTCTCCGCTAGCGGGTCCAGAGACATCAGGAAATAAAACAACAACAAAAAGGCGAAGGATTAAACCCAACCAGAGATCTAAAAAGATCTAAAGAGCTGGTTAGGTCAAACTGTCCAGCAAGAACCCATGGACACCTGTGGGACGCTGAGAGGTCTGCTCACTCACACGCTGAGAGACCACTTTGCGTTCCATAGGTCTCTGCGGGCGACGGCCTGAGTCCTGCAAAGCCCACCGCCGCTTATGTCGTCCTCACAGGAGGATGCTGGACATGTAACTGCTGGCCTCTCAGCACCGGTCTCAGCATCCTCCTTACAACCTCCGGCAGCCACCGTGATACCACCAGAGCCTGCTGCTACCAAGAAGATGCCGCCGTGGGCCATCCCCTTCGACACGCCCGCCAGGAACCGCTTCCTCAAGGACTACCGGATCCAGGCGGCCTCTGCGACCTCGACAATCCTCGCATGCCTGGCCGTGGTCAGTCTTTTTTCACTTTTTTCTATCCCACTTTGCCTCTTGCTTTGCTTCGCTACGCGTTGCTGATAGACACGCTGAAACATGGACTCGTTGGCTAACTTCGGCTTATATTAGACCCCACTGGAGAACGTGAAGACTCGACTCCAGTCGTGAGTTTTACTCTGGTGAAGATGTTATATATGACACCGTGATGTGCTGACTGGCGTGGTTGTGCTAGATACAACTTCAAGGGGACCACCGACTGCCTTCGTTACATGATCAAACATGAAGGACCACGCGGTTTCATGGCTGGTAAGGTCTTGTTTTATTATCAATAATAAATAACACGAGAATGGATCGTCTAACTCGAGTTCAGGCGCGTTACCACCATTGGCAAGTCTTACCATAGTCAGAGTCACCAATTTCACCGTCTACCAGAAGAGCAAACATGCCATCTCCGACTTTGTGGAAAGACACACTGGAACATCACCATTAGCCACATACAACACTCCAGGTTCCCTTCCTACTTTTACCGGCGTCTCCTGTTTCATGGCCTCTGGAATGTTGGCTGGTCTCTGTGCTGCTCCTATTGCATGTATGCGTGTCCCATGCATATACACCGGCTATAGCTACAATACTAACAAACAACAGGTCCATTTGAACTCGCCAAAAATGTGGTTCAGACATCTGTTCTGATGGCTAGCAGCCAGCGTGAACCCACGGGAAAGGGCCTCAAGTACACCTCACTTCAGAACGTTCCACGCCTATCAACAGCCCAGGCTATCAAGCAAATCATCTCTCGTCATGGCTTCAGGGGCCTTTACACCGGAATGGGTCTTCATGTGGCTCGAGACACAGTTGGCACCGGACTCTACTTCGCCGTTTATGAAACATCAAAGCAGCTTACGTCAAAATACCTGGGTGACAACCATTCTCCATTCGGGCCGCAGTTGGTTGGTGGTGCGCTCTGCGGCACCCTTCCATGGCTATTTGTAAGTGTGAAAAAGAAACATGCATATATTAACTGTCTGGTAGCCGTGATAGAGCTAATGTCTGTTTCTCCTTCAGACGTACCCACTCGACACCCGCAAAACTCGCCGGCAGAGCATGATACTCGGTCAATCAAAAGAAGTGGGAGCCGCCGTGGCCAAGAATTCCGTCTACACCGGTCTATCCGTTATCATCCTGCGCACAGCTGTGCAGAACATGCTCCTTCTGACCATGTTCGAGTACTTCAAGAGAGAGATCGATAAGCTGGAAGTTTGATCCATTTCACTTCATCCAATACTCTATTTTACCTTGATGGTAATACTCACTTTCTGGCCTTCTCACATTTTCCCTGTCTTCCGTGTTTTCTTACTCCGGCCATTCTACTTTCATATCCCCAGCTCGGTCGTTTTGACCTAGGGTGATTACATACCTTTCTACACTTCCATCTTTGCTCATATCTGATTTATTCAGAAATAATGGCGATGCCAGAGGCTTTGTTACTGGTTTTATCAGCATGGTCTCCTCTTTTTCCCTCGTTTGACATTGCTCGTGGGATTCGTTTCCCTTTTATCGAGACACATTCTGCATGCATATTGGCTTTTTTTACCCGCAAATACAAACATCTGATTCTGGTCAGGCTTTTTCTCTTCCTTATAGCAGTGACCTTAGCATGTTTTCTTGTCTCCGATGCCTTAGTATCAATCTAGTGGTAAGTACCTAGGGAGGTATTCCTCCTGCTGTGTCGTATCAGTATGAAAAAAGGCGTTGCGCACCAATATTCTGTGTGAAGTCCGCTGAATAGTATACTCTGATAATTATCTTTCTACTACTCTATAAATCCTATGATAATGGAATGGCTACATATCTCTCGTAGCTTACTATTGCTGTCGTGTGCTAAGTATGCGAAAGTCGTGGGGAGCAAAAAGGTCGCTGTAGTGATCGCGTGTTTTTACTTTGAACGTTCGCTCATTTGTCGACCTCGTTGAAACGAATAAATATCGACCCCCTTCGACCACATCCACCACCACAGACAGCCCAAGTTTTTTACAGCCTCACTGCTCTCTTCTCTTGAGTGGGGGCTGCTGGAGACGGGCACACATTTTCTCTCACTCTCCACAACAGAATAATCCGGTACCATGGCATCGTAAGTCATTCAATTCTCTCTCGTCGGTGTAGACGGGGGAAGGCTGCCCCTCCACCGCCAGCTTATGTCTACGCATAGCAACCACCGGCTAATATGACGATTGATCTTTGATATAGTGGTATCCTGCAGCTACCGTTTAGACGGTCTCACAATGTTTCCCTCTCCGATGCCATGAAACAATACATTTCTACAAAATATGACCAGCACCCGGACATGTTTGCGGAGGATTTCATAATCATAGACCAGATGCGCTCAGATGCTATCAACCTACAGGAGCCTCACGAAAGCGGGATAGCTAGGCTTGTAGTATATGCCGCGCAGCTGAAATGGATTGGCGGAAAGTTCCCTATCGATGTGAGAAACTCACCTCGTCTTAATGAAGTTTTTATATCCAATACTGACCGCGAGGGCTTCGTAGGTTGGTGTGGAATTTCCATGGTACCCGGCCTTTGGATTCAATACAGGACGACCGGGTTAGTCTTTTGGAATTGGACCCCATATGCCGTAGCGGTTACTGACTGTCTGGCCGATACAGTATCCCAGAATAACCTCCGCTTCGAGCTTGCCAATATACTCTTCAACCTTGCTGCGCTTTATTCACAGCTTGCCGTCTCATTGATTCCAGCCAACTCGGACACCCTGAAGGTGGCATGCAAATATTTCTGTCAGGCTGCCGGTGTTATTGAACATATAAGAACAGATATACTACCAGACCTACGAACCTCACCTCCGGAAGACATGGATGAAATGACACTGAGAAGTTTAGAAGAGCTACTTCTTGCTCAAAGTCAGGAATGTTTTTGGCAAAAGGCAGTGAAGGATGGGTTGAAAGATGCCTCAATTGCACGGCTAGCCGCCAAAGTCTCCGATTACTATATCAATGCTGGGGGTTATGCTGTAAAATCCAACAGCATAAGTACCGATTGGATACATCATATGACAGCCAAACATCACCATTTTGCCGCCGCTGCTCAATACAGGCAATCACTTGATTGTTTAGAGAAGAAAAAGTATGGCGAGGAAGTTGCGCGATTGAGAGATAGTCTGTTGTGTACTAACGAGGCGCTGAAGGAAAAGAGGTGGATCAACAAGGTGGTTCTAAGTGACCTTAACGGATTGAAATCCCGAATCAGTGAAGACTTGAAACGAGCTGAAAAGGACAACGACATGATATACCTGAACCATGTTCCTCCCAAGTCGGAGCTGAAGCTCCTGGATAGAGCTAACATGGTCGCCGCTAAAGCTCCTGCTGAAGTGATAAACGGGTTGTCCATGATCGGAGAGGATGCTCCTCTTGGTCGTGCCCTATTTGCGAAACTGGTACCTTACGCTGTGCACGTTGCGGCTAGCATTTATGCTGATCGTAGAGACCGCCGAGTCAATGAGACCATTGGCGAGCTGGAATCCATGACAACGAAGCTCCGAGAGTAAGATATTTTAATGATTGTGTTTTGGACCTTCTAAGCTGAAACTAACTATCAAAATAGCCTGCTACAATCGTTGAACCTCCCTGGGTCCCTCCAGGCACTCGAAAAGCCTTTGGGTCTTCCACCCAGCCTAGTCTCTCATGCAGAGGAGATTCGGCAGCAAGATGGGCTAAACCGTATTTTAACGTCGTTGGATGATACCTCAAAACTGAAAGCAACCGACAAGGCTACTTTCACTGAGGCAGTGGAACTTTTGAACGCAGAAAAGGAAGAAGATCAAAGAGCTAGGCTCAAGTTTGGTACTGATCGTTGGACTCGAGAGACATCAGAGAAGGCAGCTCCAAATCTATATGCGCAGACTGCTGAGATAGAGGGTTACCTCTCATCAGCCAATACCAGCGATAATTTCATCCAGAGCAAACTAAACGAACATGGCCGAGTGCTGCAGGTTCTGGCTGGGACAAATAGAGACTTGGAGGCATTTGTACCCAGCAGTCGAAGACCTGTGCTGTCACCCCAGGTGGGACGTGAAATAAGCAGACTACGAAGTGCATTGAACGAAGTTACGCGACTTGAAAATCGACGTAAACATTTGATTGAGGACTTGCGAGAGACCTCTCAGGCGGACAACATCAGTAAGGAGCTCACTATCCACTTCATACGACCAATGCCTTGCTAAGAAACAATGACCCATCTAGATTCTGCACTCCTTGAAGAAACAGGACGCTTAGAGCGCGAGTTCCCCATGCAGAAGATCCAACCCAGCCAGTTCGAAGGACTGTTTGAGAAACACCTTCGTCGCTATGATAGTGATCGGAATATGCTTGCCGAAGAGCAGAGGAAGCAAGATGAACTAGGAGATCAGCTTCGAGAAGCTAACAAGGCATTCACGGCTGCACGTAGAGGCGACTCTTCAACTAAAGAGCGAGAGAAGGCGCTACAAGATCTAGAGATCGGATACTTGAAGTATAAGGAGATCATATCGAACATCGACACCGGAAGAAAGTTTTACAATGATCTAGCAAGGATCGTGGGCCGGTTTAGAGAGGACTGCAAGAAATTCGTAAACCAGCGAAGACTAGAAGCGAGTCGAATGGAAACGTAAGTCTTCAGCCCCTGATACACACTCCACTCCCTAGATAATGAAGGTTATCCTCTTTTCTTTTACCTAACTTATCTGTTATGTAGGGATATTGCCAACACCACCGCTATGGCCGCTATGAACATTGCAGCCCACTCGCCTACATCACAGCAAATGCCTGCTCAGAACCAGCATCAGCAGTCCTTCATTAACCCTGCAGAACCACTGACGGCCCCTCAGCCGACCAGGGCGAACGTCATGCCTCCACCTGCAACCATGCCGCCTGTGGGCGGCGGGATTTGGTCCCCCGAAGTAGGAATCAAGTTTGCTCCGGCGCCCGCACCAAATGCACATGTTGCTCCGTATCCGGAGTCTAGGACTGTCGTGGAGCCCTCGGGGTCAAGTTCAAGTAATACAGCTGGCACGGGGACAGCAGCAGGAGTATCAAAGCCCGGACACTGGGATCCTACAAGGGGTCTGAGATTCTCGTAGTGACGTATAAGCTGGTACCTGGTAAATGATGGGTACCTAGTATATACTGGACAGGCATTATATCTGCATTTTTGAATATACATACTACAAGCGATTTTCGAAGCGTTTACTTACCTGAGAGGGGTTGCTAGAGTATACAGGCCGGTATGGCAGGTCATGCGCGAACGATATGAGAGTAACACGAGCTGGAATTGTTTCTCCTTCTGCTTAATCTTGCTGGGCTAAATAGCATCGTAAATGGAGGGTCTGGGCCATTCATCGTCACACAAGGAAAGAAACACACATCAGCTTCATCGAGGAAAATCATCAACATTATCATCACCGTCCATCCATACGTAGTCCTGCTCTTATTTTTGAATACCAACAACCAACGTCCAGGCCGAGAAGGTAAAGGGGCAGCTGCTTCCCTATTCTGTGTCTCTTAAAGACCTCCTTCTGGGCTGTGTGCCGAAATGTGCACATAACGGGTTATAGGTTGCCTTTGGTTCAACCATCGATCAATCAATCGATGAGGCAGGGGGATGGAGCCCGCCAACAGGATATAACAAAAAAGAAAAGCCAATATCGAAATTACAGATGCGAATGAATAGATAAGTGGGAGGAATGGAAAGAGTAGATAGGAATAAGAGGTGGTGGAAACGGCTGTAAGATGTTCGAAAGGTAGAAGTGAGAAGGTTATAGGGAACTTGTAATGGTCTGAAAATAGAAACAACCATCAAAAATCATGGAGAAGACTTGAGCTCAGAAGCAGGACTTGTTGTTGGGGCCTGCTTCTGACTCTGATGTTGTCCGGTGGTCTCTTGGTATTTATGGAACATGCCGGATAAATCTCCCTCAGATATGGCAGATCCGTTCTTTTCGACGATGAGGTTTCTGAGCCATCGGTTCTCCATCTCGAGCTGGCTGACGCGTGATTCGAGGGCTGTGTTCTTGCTTGTCACTTCCTTTACGGTCTTTTCCAAGTTCTTCTCACGTTCCTTTTTCTTAATGCGGAAGCGGGCGCTGGCAGCAGTGTTTCGCCGGCGCTTGTCTTCTTCCTGGGCTAGACGGTCTGCCTCTGAGGTAGTGGTGGCATCAGACTTCCTTTTTGATGGAACAGTGGCAGGCTGTGATTGAGTTACTGCTGGCTGTGGTGGTGGCGCCTGTAGCTGTGGTTGCGACTGGAGACGTTGGTGTTGCTGCTGTTGCTGCTGCTGGTGTTGTTGTTGCTGCTGCTGCTGCTGATAGATGGGACTACTCTGAGGGAGAGGCGTGTTGGCGGGGAGAGGCTGAGCTGATGGATAGGTAGTCGACTGGACTGGGACCGTCTGCGGTTGTGGTTGGAAATATGGGAAGTTGGAAATGTTGAAATCTGTTTGACGGATACATATCGAGTAAGCATAAACCAGAAGACACCACATGCACATCTATTGCATAAAAACGCTCACCATTCAGTATCCCCACGTAGTTCATATCCTGCCGTCCGTTCGTCGGGCTCACGGTTCCTGAAGACGAAGAGACAGGCTGCTGCTGTTCGTCTACACCGCCGACATTTCCAGCCGGGTCAAAGTCGAGGAACTCTGCGTTCGTGAACAGGGCGAGGTCGGCATCGACATCGAATTGCAGGTCGTCTGGCTGTGCTGTCTGCTCGAAGGGCGAGGGTAGGGTGTTCAGGTCGTTGAGATACTGCGAGAAGTTGGGCGCACGACGCCCGTTGAAGTCGGCCATGGCGTTGCTGTCCTGCTTAACACTCTCGACACTCTCGCTCGGTCGAGGAGTTTGTTCCAGAAGTGGTGGTGGTGGTGGTGTTCTGAGTCAAGCGCTTCCGGGTGCTTGTCCGGTCAGCGTCGGCGGGTCGCAGCCCCGTGCCAGCAGCAGGTCGGGGTCCGACGTCTGAGATATCGACGCACGCTGCTCGCTGCTAGCTGCTCGCTGTTGATTATAAGATATAGATAGACGGTCGTCCTTCGACAGGTGTGTCGCTGTCTCTCTGTGCGGAGGGCTAGAAAAGAAAAAAGAAAGGAAAAGAAAAAGACGCTGCGGCAAATGCCAGAAGTTGGCTGAGCGTTTGTCGTTCTTGGTCCGAGAAAGCGAGAAAAGCGAAAAAGCGAAAAAGCGGGACGAAGACGAAGAAGACGAAGAAGATGACAAATCCGCTTTTGTCGGCTTTCTCGACGCGCGATTTACTTACATAAGCATCCTCGGCTTCTTTTTGCCCGCGTTCTCCCGCTTTGTCCGGGTTCCTCCGTTCGGACGACCAGGTGGGTCTTTGATAAGTAAGCGACTTAGTAAGCAAGGCGTGGAGTGAGATAGATGGAGGTTTGGTAGACGTTGAAAGATGTAGAGAGACAGACATGTAGAGTAGAAGAGGGTGATGTTGGTGAGATAGCTACATTCTACGTAGAGGCAGCGTATATAGGTACTCCGCATAAAGACAGCAGGCCATATGACAGCACATGCAAGAGTCAGGTATAACCACCGTAGATCCACCAGGCTCCTTCGAGAGCCCTTTTTAAGACCAAAGGCGAAAAGGTCAACAGTATCAGTCTTCTCCTTCCATCAACTCCTTCCCTGTTGACTGTGTAATGTCCAGCAGTGCAGCCTGCCATCTTAGATTGCCATAGGACGTACTTACCGTAGAAATTCTATGTTTTGCTTGCACCTTCCGCAGAGGCATCAAAACAACAGCATAGAAGGGTATAAAGATGCCGGTTTTCTCTCTTCTTCTTCTTCTTCTTCTTCTGCTTCTTCCTCCTCTCCAACTTTTATCTGCACTGGATATAGGCGACCTCAGAACTAGCCACAAACTTGCAAACACCATGTACCCGAAAGCAGAGGCATCGGCCGTTATAGTGGCTTCTTTGATATCATCACTGGTCGTATTTCCTCAGCCCACTGGTCCTCAACTCGTGTCCCCACAACTGACAGCCGCCTAGGATGAAGCTCATCGTCAGAACGGGCCTGTGCCGGCCTGTGCTAGTGAGAGAGGGGAGGAAAAGCGGGCTTACCAGGTAAGGACCTCGTCAAGAACACGTTTTGTCTATGATGATGAGAAGCTACAAGATGAGACCTTTGGTCGATGAAACTTGAATAGAACACCTGAATAGCAAAACGTGCACCTTTTCCGGGTCGGGTTTTTTCTCGTTTTCCACTCCGCACCTTACTCAGCGCCAGCGCTGATAAAGGAAAACCGTATAGGTCGACCGATGACATCATAGTCGCCTCATGACGACACTCGAATCAGTACGGAGTACTTGGGAGGATGTTTTGGGGGTTCGTTGAGGTATATGGTATATGGAAGTACCTGAATATCAGATAGATAGAAATACAAACCCGTTGATTAAGCAAATCCTCGTTGTGTTTATTGTCAATTCTCCAGTGATTCAAGGTGCAGCATTGAAGCTGTTGTACTCCGCACTCCATAACTACTAGTCTAGGGGAGAGAGAAAAATTTAATGCCGCATTTGCGGTGTTGCCTCCCTCGCGTGATAGTAAACTGTTTGGATTCGATGCCTTGATTTGTTGCGCTAAGTAGTAAGGCTCTTCTCCCGTTCAAGGCTATATTTATATACAACACTAGAGATTTTGCCTTGGCGGGGCGCAGGCGGCGGGCCGTTGGAGCCTCATGGCCGAAGCCTTGGCAGTTGCCAACTCGACGTATTAGATTATTCTATGTTAGCGCTCTCCGTGTTCTAACACCTCCTGTCTTGATTATCTGGGCTGGGCTACGGAGTATTCCTACTATAGCTATGTACCTACCTGGATAGGTAGTCTGGGGACATCGGACTAACAATTATCCAGGGTTCAGGGAGACTTGAGATTTGGGACGCGCCGGCGAAGTAAGACATCGCCCTCCAGGTCTGAGATAGGTGTTCCCGTCTCTGAGACATTAGCATCATTGTCGAGTCAGCACCCCTCATTGCTCTAGTGCCGGAGAGCGTAAGTAGAAGTCCATCGGTGTGCGAGACCCATGGCTTCCGATAATGCGCCAGATTTTGAGGCTCTCTATAAACGGGAAAAAGAGCAGCGATTGCAGGCTGAGGAGCGAGCATCAAGGGCGGAAGAACAGCAGCGACAGGCAGATGAAAGAGCAGCACAGGAAAGAGAGCAGCGACTGCAGGCGGAAGAGCGCAACCAGCGTATATCGTTCGAGGAGTTCATCCAGGCCTGTCATTACCTGCTCTCTCTACCCACAAAGGTTCAAGAGAGCGCTCTCTCCACGAAAGGATCTATCGGAAAACCAACTGGCAAGTTATGCCCAACCTACCTTCGCCCCTGGCTAGCCTATTCAGGAATTCAGGAAGAATTCTATACCCGTGTGTGCGGCTATTTCGAGCCAACGGATAGGCTATTTCCTCCTATTATTGCACTCGAAGATATTGCGCGGAGATGTTACCGGCCATTAAGCAGTGAGAAAGATGTGGAATTTTATGAGCGGCTCGCGGTAGAACAGCACGTTCAGGATGTGATTGCAGAGCTATGCAAGAGCCTGGATGCTCGAAATGACTTTGCTCTTGGAGAGGGAGTCACATTTGAAAATCACGCGAATATTATCGATGAAGGGGACGAGGACGAGGATGAGGACAATGCGGGCCTGCCAAACCAACCAAATGCGCGACACGCTATACCAGATCAGTTCTGTATCCATCGAGTAGATGATGGCGTCCACAAACTGCTCACTACTGTCGAGTACAAACCGCCTCATAAGCTGCCGATAGAATATCTCCATGCCGGTCTTAGGGAGATGAATCTCTGGAAGGAGGTGGTCCAGCGGGACACGTCTGAATTAAAAGGGGATGATAAGTTAAGATACAATGCGGAACAGATAACAGCATCTACTCTGGTCCAGGAATTTCATGTGATGATTAACGAAGGGCTTGAATTTTCATATGTCACAAATGGATTGGTTTATGTTATGCTTCATGTCCGGCGTGGTGATCCAAACACGCTCTACTACCATCTCTGCAACCCCAATACGGAGGTTAATCAGGGCGATACACAGATCTTATCAAAGACTGCTATCGCTCGGGTGCTCTGCCTCTGCTTAATGAGCTGCAGCTCGCAGCCGCGGGATCAGAACTGGCGAAACCTTGCGAGGCAGCAGTTACATGAGTGGGAAACAAGTCCTGAGTACGAGAGAGCGCGTATACCAGAAGAGGAGCTCCGACAAACCCCTCCTGGCTCGGAGCATGTGCCGTCCTCTTCTCCTCTGAGCTCCCCAACCGCAGATAACCACCGGCCCATCACTCGATCCCGAGCTGGGTGCGCGCCTCAAAGCACAACTGCACATCCTTCAGAGACTGCGGACTCTGACTCCGACTCTCAGCAGGCGGCTCCCGGACGGAAGCGAAACTTAAGCGAGCTAACGGCGTCGCCACCTGGCCGACGACGGTCGCGTCAGAGGGAGGGTCAGAGGGACGGCATAGGGGACCAGGGAGGCTACAAGCACACTGCGGTGTTTTGTACGCAAAAATGCCTACTTGGCCTTCAACGGGGAGATGCCCTAGATAGTGGATGCCCAAATGTGGAGAAGCACAGATCAACGGATGGCGGCGACAAGCATCCTATCAATGCAGCACGGCTAGTAGTCTTGATCAAGCAACAGCTGGATGAGGACCTGGACCGGGACTGCACGCCGTTTGGTATTTGTGGCTCGTATGGGGCTCCCTTCAAAATCACCTGTCGCCAGTATGGCTACACAATAGTCGGGAAGGGTACAACACGCCGACGCTGGGGTGAGGTACGACGTGAGGCAGAGGTCTACCGCGTCCTCCAGAAGGTTCAAGGCTCGGCGGTTCCTGTGTTCCTCGGGTGCATTGACATGAAGATGATATACCACCTTCATGGCGCGGGATGCATCCAGCATATGCTGCTCATGGGCTGGGGTGGAGAGGACACCAGTAGAATGAAGCAGACCCGAGAGTTGCATGATGAGATTGAGCGGTCGAAGAAGCAGATCCGCGCAATTGGGGTACATCATCAGGATTTACGGCCCAATAATTTACTATGGAATGCTGAGTTGAAACGAGCTTTGATTATTGACTTCCACCGTTCTAGGCTTATCGCCCCTATAAGAAATAGAAAATCCGCGAAGCGTTCGGCGGCTGCCAGTGGACTAGAGGACAAGGAGCAGAAAAAGATAGGAAAGCTGGCCAGAATCATATGTTAGATGCCACCTCTTGCTTGCCGCATATTTGGTGACAACCAGATTTACTCCGTAAGTATATATATAAAACATGGTAATACTGCTGGTAATTTATTAATCCAATGGCGTGAGGATATAGAGGTAATTTTAGATATTAATGAAATATAATTGCTGAGTAAGCGTTTTCATCGTGTAAACAAGCAATTTTTAGCCTAATCATGGCCGATAAGTCACCTGATGCAGATATTCTCCCAAAACTCGCTTACGTAACCAACCACAAGGTATGTTTTGGTTTTTGTCGATAAGAAAAGTAAACAAAAGCCGGGGCTCGAGAGCTTCCATCGCAGCTTTGGGACAGCACAATTACCAGTCGGCCTTCCCCGAAACCCGCGCGCTCGAACGAAATTATAATAGGTTAGACATGCACTGCTACCTCTAGCTCAAAAAAATATATGCAAGCTATGGCTCGACAATCTTCCATCCTCGCACCCACGGCCGCAAGTCTACCAGATACCCTCCGCATACCCTCTTCCACGCCCCGGCTGATAAAAGCGTTAAGCAAACTATCACGGCCCTCTCTCATATCCCTCGCTCTCCAATGGATAGACAAGAAAAATTTGGCCAGCTGCAGACCCTATTTACTTTCCGATGAATCACAGTCACAGTCACAGGATGATGATACAAGCCCCTATACACCAGCTGAGAGCGTGGAGGATCTAAAGATAATATACACTGATTTCCAAGGCCAAAAGGGTGGGAAGAGAGAAGTAATTGATCGGATTCTAGAAGGAGATTGGCGCCATGGTTTGTCGCTTCGGCAGCTTGCTATGGCAGACGTGCGATATATCGAAGAGCATCCATCCAGTCATCGTTGGACAGCGTTCCGAATAAATGCAAGCAGCGCAGCAGCAACAGCAACATTACCTTGCGATTCCAAGAGTAACGAAGATTATGCGACTGCTCTTCCACACTTTCAAGCTTCCAGTTTTATCAAAGCTATGCAGCGTGAAATATCACCGCTTGTCAAAGCGCATTACCACATCCACCGGTTCCACTCGCTTCCGTTAACGCTCGTTCGAATACTAGCCATCGATTCCCCCTACCAATTCCCACGCCAATCCTCTCATACATTTATTGACAGCTCAAGGTTAATATATCTTGCCTTCCCAGACAGCACACCTTTTATATACTCCTCACTTGTCTCAGCTCCAAGCTCAAAAAGGGATGGGAATAATACGTATTCTACCGATGTCCGGACATTACGGCGCATAGTCAATGATGCAGTTCCGAAGGCCCTATCACGCCCGCAACAACGGTACTCACTCACCTCCACATCTCTGGCAGCAAAGAGCCTACATACCTTGCTTACTCTACGCGGGCCCTGGAGAACAAACTCTGCAAACGGTGCCTTTACCGTGTTTGCAGATGCAGTTGCGGAGACTGGACCCCTAGAGCCCAGAATAAGTTACACTGTGCCTTTTATGGATGAGAATACTCGAGTCACAAACACCACCATCAATAATAATAATACACCATCAGGCGACAAGGAAAATCTACATCTTCCTTATACGAAGAGACAGAAGCGGCCAGTTAACGAACTAAGAGCCGATTCCCAATCACTTAAGAAACGAAAACAAGATGTAATATCCCGATTTGGAACGTCTGGAGACCCGAACCGTACCTTGTCATCCTTCGACCCAGCACCCCAGCCAATTCCCGACCAACACACCCTATCAACCACCGCTAACCAACCCATACCGCAAATAACTCCAAATCCAGCGTTGGATCGCCTCCAAGTACATCTTCAAGATCTTCCAACACTAGAGCCAGACCCATCACCTTCTCAAACTGTGGTCTCACTCACATTTTCGGGTTCAGATGTTATAGCAGGCCTACGACAACTGGCGGAACTAGGTGTGATTGACCCCACTCGTATGCCATCATGGATGACAGGTGAAGAGGGCGTCAGTACCGCCATAATTAAAGGGGGTGTAATAGTGACACCATAGTTTTCCTGGCTGGAACAGCAATGATAAGGACGTCACCAAGTGCCGTTGCTTATTTACTTAGTTGTATATATTCATGCCCCAAACCATTACAGTACAAATGAGAAATCAGACTTTGATTAAATTAATTAAGTCCAAGGAACGAATAGGAGGCGTGGATTATACCTTATGGGTGAACCATCTGGTCGATATAAAAGAACAAAAGTAAAATGAGGGAATGGTGTCATACTAGAGCTAGCGATACCGCCGTCGGTAGCCCAAGGGCTGATGATATGTAGAACAATCTGCGATTAAACTAGTCAGTATCCGAAGAATATACGAAGCTTCACACATAAGCGCACTATCTGGGAAGGAAATTGTATACAAAGATGTATTCATACCCCGTAGACAGCTCAACCCTAGGCTCGCACCAACATTCAGGTACCCTTCGCTATTGACCCGGCCCGTCTCTAGCAAGTTCTGTAAGGGTGGAACGTCACTTGCCTCCCATGGTGTTCGACTATAACAGAAAGTCGTTAGAATATAAAAATAAATACCAGGAACCAGGGGATATAATAGCAATATACCAGTAAACGCATCGAATTTGCTTCCCACTTTGACTGGAAACCCATTGCTGAAAACAAGTCTGGTGGATATTATTCCCACAAGCTGCCTTGCACCACACTATCGATTCATTTTCAGCTTCAAGCGGCATGAAGCAAATCGGACAGTCCCCGTCAATTTCTTTGCGGACCCCCTTAGTGTTGCCTGTAGTAGCGGCCTCCGTAGGATTTTGCGGCGCATTCTCGAAAATTTGGCGCAACTCCTGATGGAAATTCATTCAAATAAATCTTTGTTTTGGTATCATTTTCAGTGTAAGGGGTTTTCATACCCATGATAGAAACGCGAGCTGGTAGCGGAGATGTTCATGTGCTCGGAGGACATGATATAGGACCTGAGACGACATTTAGGATATTTACTTAGGAGAGAGGTTCAAGGACGTGATGCCTCTTCTTGCGTGTGGGAGGCCATACATATACTACGTGCTTGCATTGATTTCCTTTTCTTGCATCGGGACAGGTGCATGACGGCTCCTTCCCGATGATAACTTGGTATACATTTCCAGTTGAGCCGGCAATGTCAATGTATTCCTCTGGGACTTCTTCAGTTCCTCCTCTTGTTCGTTGAAGGACAAATAGCCTATTCGACGCATTAGCATGCTGCTAGTAATTGTAGGGAGCTTTTGTCTAAACATCGACGCTGTGACAAAGTACCTTTGCGTTCTTGCTCTGTCCAGCTTGACCAAGTAGGTCTGCGGAGGTTTGGACCTAAACCCGCGAAGTCTGCGCTCCACGTCCTTTTTACGCGGCGACTTCGTCTGTTTCTTTGGCGACTTTAGTGTAGTTTCAGTTTCTGATTCGCCAGTGAGGTCGATAACGTCTGCATTTTTTGGTGGAGTCTGAGCTTTTCGAGCCCGTCGAGTAGGACGAGGCTCTTCACTGGCTACGTCTGATTGTCTCTTCCTTTTCATGACTCTGGCTAAAACGTGGTGGCATCTAACGATAATGAATGGTAGCTCTTCTTAGCTTCTGAGAAAGGCACGAATTACCGAAGTCGGTGTCCTCTGTCCTCCTTCAGTTTCAGAGAAGGGGCTTGATATAGGTAGACTGCTTATAAAGAAACTTCCTTAAAGGAGATTGATAACTACTTAACGCCGATAGCGTCTAGCAGCAATAGTATGTTGGATTATAGTTGACCCGGTCTAGGCATCTTGATATTAGTTACTAGAGATGTCAATTGATATTCTGACAGCCTCCTCAGACAGCCTTCCCGTCCGTCTGGTGTACTCGAACTTACACCCAGAAAACGTATAATCAATAACGATGGATGGGGCGAGCAAAAAACCCTTACCTAGGTAGCTACAACGCGAAGAAAGACTACCCAGACATTAGAACAAACTGGTAGCCCCAACTAAAACCTTAGTTATCCCTCTCGGGCTGCTCCATCAGTACTTCGTATAGCTTGGTGGCTACGCTCTTGACGAGCATTACGAACTCTACTACGGACTTCGAAACCATCAGCAGCAAATCCTCGGATGTTCTTTTTATCTTTTATTTTCTTGTGTTATTCGAGCTTAATCGGAGCCTCCGCGCGCTAGACCAAACCCGGAATAGGATCTTATCTTATCAGCCACCCATCTTGAAGACAATTAAGACGCCAAAGACAACACCTTGAGAGCTTCAAGTTGGTGACCGAGTTGTAGCCGCCACTTATGTCGCGGCCACGAGCCGTCTCCGGCGCTGATGCGCATAAGGAGCCTCATTCCATCTCGCTGAAAGGTAACTAACTGTCCGTTCTCACCTGTTGATGGGACTACCTGAGTTGACGAGTGCTCTAGTTTTACGGTGAGTGCGAGCCACCGACTGGCAAGGCTCAGCAGCTGACACGTCGGGCCACAGTCTTTCGCGACCCTCTCTCTCGCTACAACATCCTCTCCCAGACTCCGATGCACGTGTCTCGAAACTAGCGTCTCTCAGTTACCCTTCAGGTACCTCAGATCCGCAGTTCATACTCAGTCCGAATGTAGGTGCCTTCTCTAGACAAGGTTTCTTTCGTTGCTGGCCAATGTCATGAACTAATTCCGGATACTCGTTGTAAATAGCTCACCCTACCACCAGCATTTGGGTCTGCATATGTTGGTGAGACATTTGCATGTTCACTATCCGCCAACAATGAAGCACTCAGCGGAAACTCCCGGGTTGTGACCTCCATCAGAATGCAGGCGGATATGCAAACGCCCTCACAGACGATCCCGCTCGACCTACTCCCAGAAGATGAAGAGCCTGGCAAGTCAGCAGGTACATCCGCGGCCGCGTCAGTGCAGAAGATAATCCGCTTTGACCTTAAGGAGGAAGGCAACCATGTGTTGGCAGTGAGCGTCAACTACACCGAGACAACGATGGCCCCCAACAAAGATGCACCAAACGGATTTCAGGCTTCCGGGGGAAGGGTGCGAACGTTCAGGAAGCTCTATCAGTTCGTTGCCCAGCCGTGCCTGAGTGTACGGACCAAGGCTACGGAACTGCCTCCGCGTGAAATAGAGAACCGTTCACTTGGGCCATATGGGAAGACGCGACTACTTCGTTTTGCGTTGGAAGCACAACTTGAAAATGTTGGAGATGAGATAATTGTTCTAGGGGTAAGTGCTTCGGTCGCCCGAACGTGCATGTTCCCCTCCCCAATCGTTTTTGTTTTACGGAAATGAATCAGGCAATGGGTTAACCAGTGGGCAGGTCCCAACTCTTAATTCCAAGCCTCCATTTAAATCGACATCTTTGAATTGGGATGTCTATGAGCAGGATGGAGAGCAAAAGAAAGCGTCTCCAACGCTGGCACCAAGAGATGTAATACAGCTTGCATTCCTGGTTGAGCAGGAAGAAGGACAACAGGAAGGTCTCGAAGTGACGCAAAAAGACATCAGTAGAGATGGTCGTACAGCCCTTGGTCAGCTGTCTATACAGTGGCAGGGCGCGATGGGGGAGAAAGGGTACTTGACGACAGGAAATTTAATGACAAAACGAAGGCCATAAGTAACAGGCTCCCGCACTTCCCTTCTGTTCCCTGGCAATAATAACTGGCTCCTGGTCAATATGTGTTGGCCTGCTACGAGGATGGATGCCTGCTTCGGGCTGATTACCCTCTTCGATAATTTTTTTGGGGGCCGGATGAACCTAACAACCGTGCATCGGGGGGTTCGTGCCTGAGCGCTTATCGATGGAAGAGAAGGGATGTTTGGTTCCCAGCATTCCAGCACATCTCGACCAGGGGAAACGAGCTAAGTGCGCTAGGAAACGGGTGTTGATCGTTGTATCCTCGCAGGCTCGAGGGTAGGTGGCTCAGCTGGAGAGAGGTGTCTGTGTCTTCTCCCCTAGCTTACGAATCACTAAGTAACGAATTGATGAGATGGTTAATTTCAACGAGTTGAAACTCGCTTCTAACTTACCCCGTAAAGGACATTGACCGTGCGAGTCTGGAAATGGAGAGGACCTTTTGCGGAGAGGGACCCGTATCTAACACAACGCCGATACGGAGAAAGCAGCTACTTTAGCTAGATCTTAGCTTGCCGGAGAAGATGACGACTTTAGTTATCGAGAGATGCGAGACATGGATCTTTTGGATGATCGACTTTAGCAAGCCACCCGCACCCGAGTCGATGATTTAGTTGTATGGAGTATAGATGAGACCCTGCAAACAAATCACGTAAGGAAGGAATTAGTTTTGCAAGGAATATCGCGATTGAGCAGGTAATCCTGTTCCCGATCTTCTGGAAGGCTGAATCTCAGAAGAATTGACGGGGGTTGGGCGGTTAATCAATCTCAGGGTGTGAAAAAATATCCCCTTTTGGCCGCCCCCACCCCTTTTTCGTGAGCGAGCCATAGTCGGAGTTTCAAGCTAGATAGCTTCTCCTGTTTTATGTACTCCGTAACTATAGCTGCATCTAGCCCTCTGGTTGACCCTCTTTCAAGCTAAGCTCGATGAGTGGGAAGGAGTTAAATCGGAAGGACAGGGCTGAGCACTTGTTTCGATGTTTATCCATTTCACACTAGGGAATATAGCGTAAGGATGAATGCCGGATCTCAAGCTCGGATGGTGAAGATATGCTTCGCATACTTCAGACCGCAAGGAACAGCCCTGTAACTAGATTCGAAGCTGCAGCGAAGAAAATGTAAGACATTCAACGCCCGTCTAACGTATTTACATGTGCCCTGCTTGAAGGGATATGCAGGAACACAGCATGCATATGGTGGCGCAGACAGGGGGTAAGAAAAGCAGGTGAGAAGTTCACGTCTCTCCTCTCCTGCGTAGACATTACGGCGCTTATTCGGTCTTTATGGCTGCTGGAAGCTGGGCTTGGGGCTGTTGATGGGAGAATAACGAGTCCGCGTGTTGAGCTTTTTTCGGGGTGCAGCAAATTGGCCACACTCAATGAAGTGGCGAGAGTCTTAAAAGGGCCGAAGAGAGTCGAGAATCAAGCAAACGAGGGACCGTTTGGAATGCTGCAGATGTTCCAGGCCGTCGCGTGTGGTCTGGTCCAGCACCCAGGGCCCCTGGTACACTGTCTTATCTGTCCGACGCAGCAGGTAAAGAAAGCCCTATATTCACAACCAAGCCGGACTCGAGTAACAAACTGGAACCGAACCCGTTGATCCCGCAAGATCTTTCTCTGCAGGCCGTCGTATGTAAGTACTCATCCGTACTTGAAGGTGGAAGGGCGATAAAAGGTAAAAGAGAAGAAAGGAAAAGAAAAGAAAAAAAGACCCGAAAAAGGGGGTGTCGTCCGGCTGCAGGCCGAAGAACGGACCATGTGGATTGGGAAGGGGGATTTCCGAGTGGGAGAGAACGCAAGAGCCGGCATTGATAGACGGATTTTATGGAGGTGAAGATGGGCTCCGATGTGCTCTTTACACGTATGTCGTCCCTCCCCTTGAGACGCCACCGAGGCCTTCTCCTTTGGCTGGTGGCTCTTGATCTTCTTAACCCAAGGGAAACAAAAAAGGCCTATTTTCCGCTCCCCTTTCGCGATGGACAGTAAACTGGGGCTTGCCTGCTGGAGCGGTTCGTGGAACCCCAAGGCCAATCAGTGCCTTGCCGGCCTGGGGAAGGCGTCGTATTCTGTGCTGGCAGCCAGTTGTAAACCTCGATCCCTGGAGATCGACCGTATATCCCCTGAACGCTCTCCACTTGAAGGGTGGATGCAGTTGCGTTCTTCTTCTCTTCACCTTCACACCGTCATCCCCTCAGCTTTTCGGTTCCTCATGTCTCTCGAGGCAACCAACGAGATACGGCCCCGGCTGTCTCGAAAGGCGATGAGCTGAGAGTCCAGGTTGCGCAATCTCAATTACAAACAAGGGGCTTTCCCAGACAAACAACAAACGTACATTCCGTTGTTTTGAGTCTGTCGTTGGGTCGATGGGAGGCCGATAGATAAAACAAACGGGAACATGCGGCTTGGAGACGACAGGCCATGGGTCACCAGAGCAATAATAGAGTGAGTTATGACGCCGACTGTGGGTAGATATCGACTTTGGTCCCGTCCTATTTTGATACACCCGTCACCAGCACCAGCACCAGCATCACCAGCACCCAGCAGAGGGTATAACCCTAGCATGTACGGAGTAGCTTATGCGCATCATTGCGGCCCTCTCTCCACACCCTCGGTCGATGGAGATTTCAGCGCGTTCAAAACGGGTGGCCTGTGAATTCCTGGCAGGTCCCTCGACTCTTTCACGCCTCAGCCCAGCCCCGTAGATAGATTTGCTGTATAAGATAGGGAGGAGGTACTTGCATGCATGTATATTTATATATAGCAGACACTATTAGTTTTTTAGCACGCCTGTATCTTAGGGGAAGATCTCCCTGTCCATAATCCGCCGTTCTATCAAATCTCGCTCGTTGCTTGGGGTGACTGTCGATTTGCCCGAGATCTACCAGCAGCAGCAACGCCGTCATCGTCATCTTCTTCGTCTTCGTCTTCAGCTTCTTCCGCTGCTTCGTCTTCCTGTCAAACGGCTAAGCTGATGCATGCTGGATGCCGGGTTTCAAGTAGACTCGAACGCTCTTTTTTTTTAACTTACCGGCGAGCTCGCTAGTCAGGGCGACTTCTTCCTCCTCCGCTTCGTCTGCTTCGTCCTTTTCTTCTCCTTCTCGCTGCCAGAGAAGGCTTCGCCGGTCGAACGGGACACACACGATCAGCTTCACCTGGCGGACTGTCACGTCCTACGTTTTATTATTCTTCTTCGTCTCCTGCTTCGTCTTCTGCTGCTTTGTGGCTCTCGGGTTGTCTTTGCCCGCCAGTTCGTCGCAGCGAAGAAAAAGACTCTGCTCCCTCACCTCGCCGCAAAAGCAACCCAGCCAGCCAGCTTCTCACCTAGTTAACACTCAAAAAGCAACAAGCTGTCCGTCCTCAGTCGACCAGGAGAATAACAAGAGCCTGCCATTCGATTGCTACCCATGCGCCAGGGAGCGTTGTCCTAGAAGCGAGCGAACCTCCCGGATCTTGCCTCCCCAGGGGCCTCCGCCTCCCACCCACTTCCCTAAAAGTACGCTCGAAAACCGCCCGCGATGGCACCCGCGCTCACGGTCGACACGCCCTCCTCTGCTCCGCTGGCCGAGTTCTTCTGGATAGCCGGCGTCGATGGCTCGGAGATCCTGGACATATACTCGAAGCTCGGAGAGGAGTACAAAGCTTCCCGGTCGCCTGCGCCGCCGGTCACAGATACCATCGAGGAGGACGCAGACGCAGAGGTCGAGGAAGAGTACCAGCCGACAGGCACCTCGCCGGCCGTCTCGAACAGAAACTCCATCCAGTTCCCCAAGACGGGCGACGAGGCGCGCCTTTCCTTTCGATCCTCCTCCTTTGAGCCGGTGTCGTCCTCGAGCTCTGCAGAGCCCCATAGCAACAGAAGCAGCTTGACCATCAAAGCTACTCCCAGCACAAACGGAAGCAGCATAGGAAGCTCGTTTCTCAGCGAGGCCGACTTCGACGATGCCCTCCGCAAGTTTGCCTCTGAGAGAGACACCTTCTTGACGGACCTGACCCTCAGTGCCGGGGCCGTGGTGCCAAACAGGCCCAAGCCTCGACCGAGGACGCAGAAGATCGTCGCCGAAGATGTCAATTCGTTGAAGTCTAGCATTGGAACTGTTCGAAGGCACATGTCGTTCAGAGACATGAGCAGCATGAAGAGACAGCCCTCCATTGCACGGCAGTGTTCGTTTCCCCCCTTGTTTCTTACATATAACTTGGATATAGGCTAACCAGATACCTCTAGCTTCGGGTCGGAACATCAAGACGCCTGAGCAACTACAATTCAGTCATTCCAGTACCGCAGCCGCTCGAGATGCCCTCAAACATGCACCCTCTTAAGCGGAAATTTGAACCCGTCCTCCTCGACAGATATCCGCCCAAGGGTTCCCCAGACGAAATCCAGCGGAGAGGGAAGTTCCCCGACTACATCCCCATGTTTGCCTTCCCCAACGACATAAATATCGTCTCCTCCGACCAGCGGCCACGGTCAACCTGGCACGGCTTTGCAATGACTGGTGGCGATGGGTCTAAGCTCTACGGAGTCTGCGTGACCGTCTGGATTCCCTTGAATCACAGTGCCGCAGACGAACTAGAAAAGAGATGTGAAGAATGGAGGAGGGATAACATGACCAACGAGGAGAGAGAGCTGGCCGCCAGTCTAGGCGAGCGGCTCGGCCTCGAACGTGCTAAACTTTCTCGGCTGCTAGCCCAGCTTCCTACCGTCCCCTCTGGGTCTACCTCCCGAGAGAACCTTGAGGATGAAATAAGCGCAGTCGAGGAGAAGATTGGGTTGATGGCCGACCTTTTGCGCCCCGTTCGCCACGGTGCTGCCTCTAAGATCGATGGTTTAACCGATGGAGATACCGGGTTTTGGATACCTCGGGCCTACGGAATTCTTGGAAAGGATGCCTCCATGGTGACGTTTTGGAAAGAATGGCTCAAAGCTGTCACTGTGCCCATGATGGATGGCGCTATCCTCAGGGTTCCTCCCACTTCTCCCAGAGTAGGAAGATGGCAGCCACTCGAAAGATACGTGGTAAACCTGTGCATGGAAGCCTTCAGCCCCATATCTTCCAAAACACAGGTGGAACTCTCAATCCGCGAGTTGCGGCTCTTTGCTAGAAAGGAGGCTCTCAATGAACTTCCCGGATCTCGAAACGTCAGTCAAATAAAACTCACATTCGACTATCAAATTAAAGCCGCATACTAACCCTGTTGTTAATAGACTGATCTATACCCCCTATTTCGTGCTCTCTCAGTCTCAAATATTATCATCTTATTCGAGGTATGCCCCCTTTCCGAACCCCTTACTTACCCCTATAGGTGTCAGTATTATATTAACAAATCTCTTAGTATGCACTCGCCGAATCAAGAATAATATTCCTATCATCTCACATCTCTATGTTAAACCTCGCAAGTAAAGCACTGATAGAACTCCTGTTTCCCTTCCAGTGGACTGGTGTCTTTATACCTATTCTTCCTGCTCGGCTTATTCAAGCCATTGAAGCGCCTTGCCCTTATATCGTCGGTATCGAAAGACGATATGAAAACATTGAATTCCCAGCAGACGACTTTGTCCTGGTTGACCTTGACCAAGATCTCATCGAGAGCACATCTCGTCCCACCCCCCTTCCTCGCCACCAACGCCGAAAGCTCCAATCCTTGCTGCAAGCGGCTGCTCCCCTTCACCACCGCTACGGTGTCAGTGCTGGTCCGCCTGCATATGCCATGGAGACCTTCCCCTATGACTGTGTCCCCGCCGAGGTCCCATCAATATACACTCCAAAAGCACCCCCTACGAACTTACCAAAATTCGTGGCTTTGAACTCTGCCTCTTTTGGACAGCAATCATCCGTTAACCCTGCTCCTATCTACAATACCTTCCTGTGCTCTAAAGGTGATGCTTCTCCCTCAAGAGGCAATGAGCGGCCCTCTACCAGCTCTACGTCAAGGAACAGCAACCCGTCGTCGCCGAGAACTGCTTCACCAACTTCCATCAAATTCCCGCACCCATCTACCCCGATATCTCGGAACGATTCTGGATTTGCATTGCAGGCCTCCCTTCGTGAAAAACGATCGGGCCACTTTGACCAGGCTTCCCGCAGGAGTTCGTCACTAGCTATCGACCGACGACAGATACCCAGGAGGCCTAGTGTTCCCTTCCTTGGCCACTCTTCAAATCTCTCGGTTACTACATTGAATACCGATGCTGGAACCTCCGTATATGCACCGTCGATATATGCACAGTCCACCATTGCCGCATCAACAATAATGCCTCAATATTTCCAACCTTTACGAAATCCAGCTGGATCCACTATGATAGAAGGTCACTGTTTGCAGTTATTGCGGCCCGTGGATGAAAGATCGACATGTGACATTTGTGATGAAAGAGCGGACGAGGCAACTTATAAGTGCGCCGGTTGCACAACTATTGTACATCACCGTTGCGCTGGCCAAATTTGTCTAGTGTGCCCTGTGGCGTTCCACCCGGATCAGATCCGCGCTGCGTTTGTACGATGCTTTGCTAGCTTGCTGTATACTTACAAGAAATTCCTCCGACCTGCCACTGGAGACAAGAAGAAGAGCGGGTTGACTTATGATTTCCAAATGGAAGCTTTCCTCAAGAGTTTACCGCACGAACATGCAGCGTACATGACTGTCCTGCAGCAAACTCAAGGTACGCATAAACTCAATCCTGAGAGATCATTTGGACGCTATTAACTAATGTGACTGCAGGCTTCAACGAATTCATCAGTGAACGGGAACGGGCAAAGCAAAAGTCGAAGGACCCACGGATTATCCTGTTTGATGAAATTGTGTTATCTAAGCGCAACCGCGGGCGCTCGACTTTCTTCTCCGGACGTATGACAACCGACTTCCTCAGTGATACTTCCAATCATCTCTGGCGATCAGCAAGTGCTTCCTCCTTTTCGCCAACCACACGAAAGGAGATACCAACTTCCTTGGATTGGAAGTCTGTCGTTACTAGAGGTCAGTAATCCTCCATGACACTCATTAGTCTACCCTATTTTCTAGGGTTTTGGAAATCATTGCTTACAATGGTCATTACAGTGCCGGCAAAATTGGATCCAAATTTTATGAAAGAACCACGAATGATACAAGGAGCACCTCGAATGTCTTCGACTGTTAATAATGCAAGACGAAAACCCGTTGGAAGTAATTGAAAATACTCACACCCTCTAGAAACATAGCCCAAACTCCCCTCCTCCCTCTCCTCATCTCCCCATGTTTTCATTCTGAGACCAAGTCAGCGAGCATCATTCATCTACCACTTTTTTAATTCCCACTTCAAACGATATAAATGGTGATACGTCGCACAAAAAGAGCAAGCGCATACCCATTTTAAGAACTCGATACCCATTATAGATTTCTTACCTGCCCTGTGCGTTTCGCCTTACGAGGAAAAAAAGACATATACCACTAACTAATTCATTTCCCTTCCACTTCCCCTTGCTACTCATCTCAGAAATAGTCATGCCCCTCACCTTTGGATTTCTTTTCATTTCCTTCCTCCCATCATCACCTACATGACAGGCATCGTTTTATGGAGCTTTTGGCGTCCTAAAGCGCTGTCTATAAATTTCCTTTTGTCCTCACTTGGTTTTTGTTTTAAAAAAATATTTCTTTGATCTATCACTACATATCGCTGCATTTTCAATGAACTGATAGGAACTAATTACACCATTTGCGGGCGGTTGGGCTTGTATGGGAACGGGGGAACGGACGGAGACATTTCATTTTACTAGCTATAATAATTATAATCCTAATTACTTTCATGACTTAATCCGACTTTGAACTTCATTACTCCTACTTACTGTTTAGGCTTAGTTTCCGAGTACATTTATTACGTTTGGCTTAACGACAAACATCCACAAGCGCCCATATGACGCGCAGCAAAGCTGTGCCTCAGCCACCCAGCTATCAACTTCTATCTATAGTCATCCATCTCGATTCTGTCGACTTTTCTTGGATGAAGGATCGGTCTTGGCAATATAAGCATTCTATAAGCTATTCCTTATTAGGTTTAGTTTCCGAACACGATGCCAAGCCTTGTTGAGTTTAAAGTTAATTTGTCTCTCCTTTGCCTTCTCTTTTCTTTCAGCATGTAATAAGGAAGCAAGACGGACAGCTGTCCAAGTGTTATTAAACTTGGATGAAACTCGAGTTCGGAAATGTATTTTTTGGGCCGCAATGATTGCGTCGTCGGGACGCGTGTGCCTTTGGGGCTCTCTATCTTCGGATACACAGCGGCGGAGGCAGCTGGCCATGACATTCCAGGCGCCAACAAACTACTACAAGCTTTGTAGCAGTATATATACTGTGGTAGATCTGGCTCTCTACCTCGAATTAATATCTTTCAAAGCATGAAAACATTGTCTCGTATTTTACCCATCTTGCAGATATCCTTTTCCCAGCATAAAGTCACCATGGCCAATGAGGAGTTTCACGACTTCTACAAATACACCCCCTCAAAAGCCGCTGCCATCACCTTCATTGTACTATTTTTGATATCTTCCGCTATCCATTTATTCCAGATTATCAGAGGCCGCGTTTGGTTTTTTATTCCTCTGTTCATCGGTGGTATATGTTAGTATTGCAGCCCATACCTATTCGAGGCCAGGGACTCAGAATGTGCTGACCGGCTTGGATTCCCCCATTTACAGTCGAGATAGTTGGGTTTGAGGGTCGAATTATCTCTAGTACTGAGGCTCCATTATTTACGGATACGCCTTACATCATCCAGAACCTCTTCCTTCTTCTAGCCCCTGCATTGTTTGCTGCTTCGATCTATATGCAGCTGGGCCGACTTATCATCGTGCTAGAAGCGGAACAGCATTCCATTGTTCGACGTTCTTGGATGACCAAGATTTTTGTTACGGGGGATATCTTGTCCTTTGTCGTTCAGGGACTCGGCAAGTACCCATATTGTGATGGGGCATTTTACAGAACTGTGGGAAGTCTGTGAACTGACGCTTTCTATGCAGGTGGTGGGATCATGGCAAGCGGCACGCCTTCAAACCTGTCACTCGGCGAAAAGATCGTCGTTGTTGGTTTGATAATTCAGATTCTTTTCTTCGGCTTCTTCATTATCGTGTCTGTCATTCTCCACCTTCGAATGAATACCCATCCGACCACGGCTTCGTTATCACTCCACTTCTCATGGAATAAATATCTATACGGAATTTATGCTGTCTCTGCCCTTGTCATGGTACGATCCATTTTCAGGGTTGCCGAATTCGCCCAGGGCACAAACGGGACGTTGCTAAGACATGAATATTACCTATACATATTCGATGCCGCACTAATGTTCATTCTCATGGTAATCTTGAATATCATCCATCCGGGCGTAATCTCAACCATGATACGAGGGAAATTAGCGTTGAGGGAAGCAGACAACCTGGAAATGCAGCCAGAGAGGAAAGAATCAAATGAAGCACGAGGATTTGAGCCGACGAACCTGCGTCCGAGTTTCACCGAATCCATCTACGCAAGGCATGCTATCGCAACCAGAGGTCTTGCATGATAAGAATGCTATGTTTCAGTGGTTCTCTCGGATATCGGCCTGTCTTCATTGCTCGTCTGCCCCCTATGCACCGCACATCCATGTTTTGTTGAGTTATTTTCACACCGTCTTCCTCTCAGCACTAGGCTTACTCTGTACAAGTATGTTGTCAAACTCGAGAACTCTCTCCCTAGCCTCTTTTATGTTTTCAATATCAATTGCTCTTAAATTTCATCATGTTCCCACATATTATGCAGCTAGAAGACTCTTGGATGTTTACTCCGTCAGTCACCAAGGAATTCCACCAAGGGTCTTCCCGGAGCCTTGTTCATAGCTGAGCTGCGGCTCCACAGTTCGGGCGGAAGCGCACGGCTCCGCTCCACTCCGGTCCGCAGGCTTTCTGCTGGCTTCAATATGTGGGTGGTTTAGAGGAAATATACTCGGTGTCTATGACGGGTGACTGCATTGACAACCCAGCGTGATAAGATCAACATACAGCAAACAGGGCTGTGATGGGCAATAGAATGACATCCATGTCAGCCTCCTCCTACCCAGCAGTGCATACAAATACCTCGCTTTCCGAGACGGCCATCTCAGCTTTCACACACAAATTTAACACCAGATACTGTTATTAATAAACGGTTCTAAGGCTTATTTGGGGGATCCGCTAAATAAAATGAACACAACACCCAAAACAGAAGACCTCCAGGCACAGGAGCCCCCTTCATACGCACGGAATCCCTCGGAACACGACCAACTGCCCCCGGAAACGCTACTACTTGCCGGTGATGCTATACATAGCACATCCAGGCCAGCCTCTTGTTCTATTCCTCTATACAAGCTTTCCCTTGATATTGGCTTCCTACGCAAGAATAACACAAAAGTTGAGCTCTCTCGCTTTGAACATCGCATCCACAACCGTAATACTACGGGCTCCCCAGAAGTGAGCGCTCAACCAAGGCACATCTTCAACTTAACTCGGCCTCCAACCATTACTGCACCATCGTTCGAATATCATCTCGAGTCTACCTCTAGCGGTAGCCTAGGCCATATTGGCTTGAAAAGATACCATCACGTTCTCTCTTCGGGATATCAGGCTTGGAAAGCAACAATAGCCCATTCCGGTGCTGATCTAGAAGCTAAAGATATTATCTTCACAGCAAAGGCACAGCATAAAGGACAATACGAATGGTGCAAAGCCGGAGATGGTTATATTCTGGCGTACGACACGATTGACGATGGTATTTTCCGCTTAGAAATCATTAGGCCCATGCCTCAAAATCAGCGCGATGCCCTAGTTGGTGTCTGGTGTTTGAGAATCTGGAGGGAGATCGCTAATTCTAACGTAGAGCCATTAAGCTTGGATGAATGTATGTGAACCCGTCTCTAGTTACACCATGTATCTATGTAGATGGCAGTTGCTAACCGCGAATAACTCTAGTCAAGCGCATTATGCAAACACGGACCTACAACTCTTCCTTTAGAGCCGGTTGGGGCGTATAAAAAGTTTGTAAATGACAAGCCATCTAGCTTTCCGCCTCAATTTATCTCAGTTATTGAGCATAGAATTGACAATTAGCTCACTAATTCGACATCTAGAGCAATGTTTTTTGGGCGTTAACCAGATTTGAATTTATGTAGCTATTTTCTAAGAATTTAGCAACTGCACTAACGCCCAGCTTGTATAACGAGCTTTCTAGGTACTATCAGATGTCTAATTAAACCAACCGCTTCTTTAACCGATTGTTTAGCTCAATCTGGTTATTAATAGAGACATCTAGAGAAATACATAATAATATGCCGAGGTTAGAAGAAACTCACAGTGTAACTTTTGATTAGCTAGCTAACTTATTTTGCTGTGCGGCTTGTATTAAGATTTAGAAGTCATATAGAACTTACTGCTATCGAAATGTATTATAAGAATAAATATAAAGCTGTGTCTTATTAAATGGGTGATGAAGGTTTATCAGTATCATAGGACTATAAATATCACTCTGTACATCTCGGGGTACCACCTATGTTTTGGAGTATATTATGAAAGCAGGTAGTTACTTAACAATTACTTCGACCCTACATTGTGCTAGTGCTATTAGCTAGCTGGTGTTTTTTTTTTCTCAAATCCGCTATTGCCCAAGACTAATAACACATAGAAGGTGTGACCTTTTTTGATATTTCCCTCTGAGCATTTAGCCAACTACTATCCTTCATAGAGTATAGCCTCAAAGAGAAAGGAGCTTTAGACCTGGGAAGAATAAGGATACCGTAGCTAGTTCGAGGTAGGTATTTCTGCTAAAAACACGGCTGCTCTCCTAGTTATATCTCTAAAACTTATATCTCAGCGGTACTCATCGGCCAGGATACGGCATACCTCCAGTCCTGAGGTAGATTCCAGAATATACTCTGGATAACTTGTGTACTCCAGCCATCTGCCCACCATCGTACCGGCGCTCTGCGCAGTAGTACACAGTAGTGTGCAAGAATTACCATTGCTAACGGTTCCCGAGCTTTGAAGCATGGAAAAAGGGCGTCAGGGAATATCATAGGAAATCGAAGGGCCATACCCCAGTCCTTCCGTTTAGTTTCTAGCATGACAAAGCAGTCCCGTAACTGCAATATTGCTCGATGATACGTATTTCTAGTGCTGTGGTTAACCTCGTTTAGATAATCCGGAGTCTCATGAGTACTTGGTCTCCATTCATTGCACAGTTCTTCCAGCAATTCCAAAGCCGTAACAACGTCCGTTGGTAGATATTTCTTGTCCGTAATCTCAGGCCCGCGTTGGAGGAGTATCCCCATGTCTCCTTTTACCAGTAGGTCCCATTTCATTCTTAAAAATCCCATGGCCTTCCTGGTTAATGCAAATAAGCCCAGTAGATCATCGATTGCGTCGAACATTGCACCTCCATAGCCGGATAGCTGGGCGGACCCGAAGGCGAAGAAAATCGTCAAATGTGAGAAAGCAAATGCAGCATTAGTGTTCGACAGGTCTTCCGGGAACAGGGACCCAAATTCCATTACCGCTGCTTGATAATGTTTCTGAGCTAGCTCCTTGTGTGAGAGTTCCTGGGAGTTTAGTCCTTTTTGTTCAGTTGCTCTGAAACGAAGATAATGGATATGTAGAGCTGATATTGCCAGTACTCCATGTTTCAAGAAATTGGCAGACTGCATTTCACGCGGGACAATGACCTGCCATATTGGTCTATACGCTTCATAGTCTGCTAGCGATGCAAAGACGGTTGTAGCGTAGTGATGCATTAATTCGTGTTCCTCTGGAACCAGATGGGATGCGCAACTTAATGGCCGCGGCACATTTGCAGGATAAGATATCAATTCAACGTTTGAGATAGATATAGTTGTTTCAGGGCAATCCGATGGGGCAATGTGTGCGCTGGTGTTTTGTTGATACGCCCTATCTGGGGTTGTGGAATTGTCTTGTGGTTTGGCCTCAGACGTTGGAATGGCAGGTAATAACCTCAAAATCCTTTGACTGCTTTTTATGACTTCTCTTCCCCCAGCAGCAGGGGATTGCACTGCAAATGTCTGAAAACTGCATTCTGTGTGCCGGTATTTGCAATTGTGGCAGCACGGCGCTTGTTCGTCGCACTATTGATCGATAGTTAGGCGACTGCGCAAGACATTAGTATGAATTCCCCCACCTATAAACATACCTTTACCTTACGTTTCTTGCATTGCAAGCAGGCATTTCGAGACCTCCGTTGAGATATATTGCGTCTTTCGACAGATTTCTTTGTCATAGGTATCATGCAGCGTTGACCGCTGTAATGGAATATAGGTTACTCCTTGTAGTTTTTGGAAAGCAGACTGGCATAATAAAACCTACCACCTATAATGTTTGCTCTCTCTTCGGTCAAACGTACTTGATCTGTGCCGTACTTATATCTGTTCAAAAACTGAAGAAGCTGATAAAAATAGGCTGCCACGTAACTATTGGCAGTCAGGGCTGAATACGACAAGAGACTTGGCATGAAGCCACTTGAGGACGTAAAAACGCCCATGAGAGTCCATGAGAGCGGGCCATAACACTAACTTTCTCTGGGTCCAGGGCTGGTGGTAATATATATGGGCTAGCAATCTCTATCGAGTACAGTGGGCAGCATAAAAATTGTGTGGCCACATGGTTTATCCTTATCCATTCTGTAGGCTTATGGATCAACCATAGCCTTTTAAGCATCAAGGCATGGATATCCGAGAATAAAAAAAAAGAAAGATAACAAGCAGTTAGTCATTATACTGTGGGTTATATTAGCTGTATAATCTATCCTATCTAAACATTGTCATCATCTGTATATATAGCTCTGCTGGTACGCTTACATTAAAAATATGACATGAAACCTCTTCGTAGTTAATCATAACAGACTAAAGCATATGAATAGCTCTAGGGTGCAACTCTTGCCTTTGCTACTGGTGAAGGTATGTTGACTCCATTGTTCATCTTTTCCACCTTTGGTGACATCCCGTCCTTTTCATTCTTAATGGCTGATTGAGGAAGGGCTGGTTGGTTTGCTTGAAATCTTTTAACGCTGGAGTAGCTTTCCGGAGTATTCGCCTCGACATCTTCTTGCACCGCTTCGTACATGTGTTGGATATGCCGAATCTCCCTAAGGACATCTAGTTCGCAGTTTTCCAGGCAAAAATCGCGTTCTCGTTGTTCAATGTGCTGCCTTATCTTGCTATACTGTGATTGGTGATAGCGCTTCCTATTCGGTAGGCCAGACCCTTTCAAATACGTCAAGTACCCAGCAATGGCAGTGTTTACTGCTCCAAAGATAGTAATCAAGACACGCGGGCCATTGCCAGCGCCCAGGGCCGTAAGTGCTGCTGCAACAATGATCTGTATCCCCAAGCAACAGCTTATTAGCAGAGTGAAAAAGCGGTATTCCCTCTTATATCGAGCCTCAGCGCTGACGACGCGGGTATATATGCCAACATTAGAAGCTGGCCGACGAACTAGGCTGGCTGTGGCAAGGCCTGCAGGTGTATCAATACCAGTCAGAACTCTGAATGTTCTAAGCTTGGAGTGCGTCGATAGAAGATGCGGCTGGCTTAACGAGGTTGCAGTTCTCCGGGTCCCGTTTGTCTGGCCATTTGTTTGGCCGTTTATCTGGTCATCGGTTGGAACACTAACTAGCCCATTAACTCGAGCGTCTGCTGGTCCATCGGCTAATCCATTTGCTTGTGGTGTTGAAGACTCTGTCTCCGAGCCATAACCTTTCTCTTCTCTGTCAAATGCATCAATTATACGCCTCACCATGCCACCTTGGCTCCCGTTCATCGAGTCTGAGCTTGGCATGAGGGCGTGAAAGACCGGACTGGCAGAGAGGGTAGCTAATGAAAAGAGAGAGTCTGAGGAGGTTGAAGTGCAGTCAAAATTAATACACACTGGTGGAGATGGGAATCACGGCTTTAACTATGCAAGGCTATTGATGATCCGCCTATTCTTATCAGCCAATGTGTGTTATTGATATGGGTGGACCCGAGTTGACCACGGTTGGGGGGCTATACGGAATAACGACCATCACAAACCAATAACTGCACGAGGTTGCGAGGCTACATTTGGATGATCCTCCACATCGTGAAGGAGCTGTCGCGGCAGGGATTTGGTCTCAGCTCGAAAAAAAAAAAAATTACAAACTCGTTCGTTGATCATCCGCGTCTCGAGCCTAGATTGGACAGCATGCTGCGGCTATTCAGTTGGTGACCCAAGTAACTGAGGCATAAAACCATGTACAGTCTGCATGGCGCCGCGTTGACATGTGCCTGTTAGAAGACTCGACGAATGCGGGAATGCGATTTCGGTGGTGTGGCAGCGGCGTAGTACATGGTTTAGGGGAGTGTGGTGGGCATGATAGACAATGGACCTGGTTCCTTGGACAGGTCTGCTGCTCGTTCCCGAACCTGCCTGTTGTTAGTTATTAGTTGCTTTTCTTTTCTAGATCCCAATGTTGTGAACCGCATAAGTTGGAAAGGCAAGACAAATAGATGCCAAAGTTAGCTGTTGTAAAATAAGCTGCGCCGCTCTACGGCTGTGCAAGTCATTCAGACGCCTCCAACAAAGCCCTGCTAGCTATTAAAGCAACTGGAACGTATATCATTAAAGGCCGAACGGGATGCTAAAGAGAAAAGGGATAGAACAAGGGTGATATCTAAATACAGCAAAAAAGAAAAATTGCCTCCAACTCGCAGGGGAAAATGTCATACGCATATAAACTTTGAATATAGTGGTCAATATAGTGATTGGGTCAGTGACAGTAACAATCATAAGTCAAAATAAATCATCGTATGGGCTAGGGAGAGAAAACAGGAAAAAAACTCAGGGGTATACATGCAACAGAGGGTAAAGAAAATAAGTAACGTCAAACGTAAAAAATATGTAAGGAATTAGGGTAAAAAAGACCTATTGTAATCGCCAGGATGGCGCAGTTAGCATTCTCTCTTATCTTTCTCTGCTGATTTCTCGTCCGCATGTCCTTTGTCGTCGGCCTCCTTATCGGATTCTTCACGTTGGGTTTCATCCCCAGTATCCTCAGAATCAACAATCTCACCCCAGCCGGATCCACGGCGGCTGATTCGTCCAGATGCTCCGGGGATGGTGTTGCCAACCTGCATGCTAATACTTCCGGTGATGCTGTCATTTCGCCCGTGGTGTGAATGAATACCACTTCTCACACTGCCTCGGTCAGTGGCAATAATTCCAGACATGGAATGGACACTGGCTCGTTCAGTATTTGAAGCACCGCCTCGGTTCAACAAACCTGCTACATTGTGTGTAGAGGAGCTGCTCTGATCCACTCCGGCAACACCACCCATGTGTCCGCTCAACATACTGAGCGGTAAGCTCTCACGGCTACCGCTAAAGAGAGATGAGGGCGCAAGTGCCAGAACTGATGCATTTGTATCAAGAGAATTTCGTCGTCGGCGCTTGGACGACGATGCTAGGGTAAGGACTGATGCGTTATCAGTCAGAAGGTTATTTGCTGTGGCGCTCGAATAAGTCGTGGGGTTTGGATTGACAGCGAGATGTGGCGGAACTGCGGTAATGGGTGAGGTGGGAAACTGATGTGTAAATTGGACGCCTGGATGTTGAGTAGTGGCATGGTGGAATCCTCCGTGATGTTCGTTGCCCATACCGGCGGAATAATGATTCACATTTTGAGTTGCGTTGAGCTGGGTTGATGGAGCGGCCGATTGAATTGTTGTCAGGGTTGTAGTCAACGAGCGTACTGACGGCGATGGGGATGAAAAGGTGCTGCCTTCTCCGCCACCAGCGGGATTAAAACCATTGCCGCCGGTAGTGCAGGTGCCGGCTTTGGAATAGCCTGCTTCAGAGACTGTCGTTTCGCCAGTAGTGGAGAGCGTGGGAGCCGCAGACTTATCTCCAGTCGTGGGAGATGGATCATCGTACTGGGACAAATGGCTGGGTCGTATACTATTTGCTGGCTCAGAGAAGGAGAGGTGCCCGTTCGTATGTTCTCCGGAGCTTCTATCTACAGGGCCGGATAGGTATGGATTGTTATTTTTTCGGTTTTTTGTCAGCGTACTGGCCCCGTTTCGCTTGTTCGATGCATTGTTTGGGTTGCTGTCAGATGAAGAACTCTTGAGGTTGGTGAGGCGTTTCATCCAGTGGGAGAATGGTCGTCGTCTTGCATGGCGATCTGTAGCTGCATGTTAGCTTCTCCGCAAAAGTAAGGGCTTGGATTCGTCTGGCTCCGCAGCTAGAGCATACCTGCCGATGCTTCCGCAGTTGTCATATTTGAACAGCTGGTACTTAACCGTCTTCTGTTGTAGACGTTGTTATGGTGAAACAGGCGTCGACAGGACTTCGTCTGCCTCGTTTCCCCGATGTCGCCTCCCAAGATCAGGCCTGGCTTTGAGCGATGGCTGACCAGGCAGCTTCGGCGCCGCCTTATATATATATATATCTCAGTCAGATCCGCCGTTTGCTCTCCGACACAATCGCTCTATCCTGGTCCTTTGTCGTCTGGCGGTGCGGTGTCTTCCTTGTCGTCTCGTTTGTCTGCTTGTCTTCCTTATCAAGCAACCTTGAGGTTCGTCGTCTGGGGATCGATATGCTTAGTCACCACAGACTATAACCAGTCACGTGATAAGCTTATTGCAGGGGTTCGAGTATTTGGAGGCAAAAAGGACGTCAGGAGAAAAGACATTCACATACATATTATCCTCACGTCTTGATGTATCTTCATGTTAACTCACAGGGACTAGATCTGGTAATGCTATACACGGGCCTATGAGGAGTGTTATAATTATTCAGGAACAGGCATACACTCTCCAGTTTGATGCGTATGGCCCCCTACCAATTCGCTATTTCACCGGGCTTTAGTCGGTATCAAAGAGCCATGGGGTGAACTGAAGGAGTTTTCTGTTGCCAGCCATGATAAACCTGGAATATATAAAGCCTAAAAAGAGGTTTCAGTCGCTAGCTTCTTCGAAGAAAGGGTGATTTTTATTTTATACAGTCACTTCTGGGTGCCCCTTCCTGCACGCAAACCAAACTCTGCAACATCTGCAGCACTTGATACCCTCAGTTTCATCCGTTTGTTTACCAACATCCGAAAACACTGCCACCTTTAGGCAATTTTTTGGACCTTGTTGGATTAAGGCCCTTTTTGGGTTAATTTTTTGGTTGAAACGCCGAGATTTGTGCATGTTGCTCTATACCATGGATTCAAATGCCCCAATAATCCGTGTGCTTCCCCAGGATGTGGCCCGACAGATGACTTCTTCATCAATTGTGACCAACTTAAATGGGGTCATAGTTGAACTTGTCAAGAATTCTCTCGACGCCGACGCATCTACGGTAACGATAAACATCGATTTTCAGAAAGGTACTTGCACAGTGGAGGATGATGGCATCGGAATACCCCCCAATGAGTTCCATGAGAGTGGTGGCCTTGGAAAGTTACATCGTATGTACTCTAGATATCCTTTTTTTTCCGTATCATTACTAACGGTTCAACTACTAGATACATCAAAGTTTTATGCGGCAGGCCAAATATATGGTCGCAAAGGCATATTTATCTCATCTTTGATATCCATGGCTTTAGTCACAATAACATCCCGTAACAGTTCATTCCAGGAAACAAATTCTATCATATTTCGGCACTCAAAACTTATTTCAAGGCTTTGTCCTGCACCAATTCAGCATGACCTCTTACACCCCCAGCATGGAACCAGAGTCACGGTAAACGACCTTTTTGGCAATCTCCCGGTTAGAGCTAAACGCCGTGCCCAGGATCTTTGCAGAAATGAAGATATTGACCGCGAATGGGGTGGTGTGAAAAGAGCTATAACAGGACTTTTGCTCGCATTTCAAAAGCCGGTCAAAGTGTACATTGCTGATGCGTCTAGATCTCGAAAACTGGTTTTTCGAGGTAACAGCCGGGGCCTTCGACGTATAAATGATGAAGACCAGCATTCCTTTGATTTGAATCGTGTACGTCTGATCCTAGGGAATGCAGGATATATCACTCCCTCAGATTTTCCGTCATGGGTTGCTGCATCGGCCCGAAGCTCTGAAATTTGGATAGAAGCTGCAATATCTCTACAACCTAGTCCAACAAAGCAGGTGCAATTCATCTCGTCTGGAATCAACCCAGTTTATCCTCTTGGAGACGCAAATCTGCTGTTTTCTGAAATCAATCAGTTATTCGCATCGTCTAACTTTGGAGCTGAGGATTCTTCTCCTGATGCTAGTAGTGACTTTGAAATGATGAGCTTAGGGGACACAAAACCACCGGCAGGTCCTTCCATTAAAAGGATAAAGACCAAATCCAAAGGTGTCAACAAATGGCCAATGTTTTACGTACGGATCTCTACGAGCCAAGCTAGCTACATTGGGTTCCAGGACTCCGAATTTTACGAACCCAAGATATCCGTCCAGAAAATTCTTGGAGTTATGCAGGCATTATTCCGCCAGTTCTTAGAACGGTATCATTTCTTATCCCGACAACCACAATGTATTAAGATGGATAGGGAAGAATATTTGTCTGTACCCGGGAATATACAACCCGAATCATCTCAGGCTAATTGTCAACACCAGGAAAACTCTTCTAGAAAGAGGAGCTCCAGCACTTTTGAAAAATCGAAAAGTGCACCGGCGGATATGCGACCATTAGACGCCAAGTCGCTTCCGTTTAAGAATTTTGGATCGTGGTCAAGGGTAAAAAGTGGAAGAGGAGATCTCTATGATGATATTTGCGCAGGCTTACCGAGAGGTAGATCTCAATCAGAATTCAAGAGGGATACCGGTATACGAAAGCCTTCACAGCCTTCGTCCATCGAACCCACCTCGAAACATACCGGAGGAGAAGCTGAACAGATATTACCTGATATCACATATTCACAAACAACTGGCGGAATCCATCCTGTGTCTGGACAGACTACGTCGCACTGCCCGGTAGAGCCGCAAGATGAGCTGATACCTTGGATGGACCCTCTCACAAAGAGGACTATGTTTGTCAACAAACGCACTGGCCAAACAGTATCGCGCAAGCCCAAATTTATGAAGCAAACTTCACGTAACACTCCTGCGAACCAAAAGACTACAGCTATCCGACTTTCGAGAAACGATGATCAGAGTCAGCAAGGAAAGGAAACATCCCCCTGGTTTGACTCGTTTCTTAAAACATGGAAGAATCCTACCTTCCCTTTGCCAGAACCCTCCATCCCGTCGATAACATCGCAGATACGCAGTACTGACAAATGGTCTTCGCCCGCTGCTCTAGGTTCTCATTGCCTAGGCTGTGATGATCCCCAGGGTATTAATACTTTAATAGGATTAACGGACAAATCCGACAGCCGACTCAACAAGTGTGCCCTCGAAAAGGCAAAAGTTATTGCTCAAGTGGATCAGAAATTCATCTTACTTCGAACCTCCTTACTTTGCAAGGGGAGGGAGGGCGAGGAAGTCTTAGTCCTAGTTGACCAACATGCCGCTGATGAGAGGTGCCGAGTGGAGGAATTGTTTGCGGCGCTCTGTGGTCTCTCGCCCTCTGATAATGTCGAGACTACTATTTTCCCCACACCCATCAGTTTCAGGATACCAGCTCAGGAAGCAAAGCTGTTCGAGACACGTTCCGGTTACTTTTCTTCATGGGGTTGTTTGTATGATGTTCTGAGGAAGTCAGAAGGGTATTATTCCCTAGTGGTGAAGGGCTTGCCAACTCTCATTGCAGAACGGTGCCGAACAGAGCCTCGGCTTGCTATTGACATGCTTCGTTCAGAAATCTGGGATCAGACAGCGACTACCAAAACACTCATCGGATCAGTGCTGGAGGAGAGCAACAGCCAGGGATTCGCTGGAAAGCCACCCGGAATGACCGAAGCCCATCGATATTGGCTGCAGCGCATCGGCTGTTGTCCCAAAAAGATGGTAGATCTGATAGTCTCTCGTTCTTGTCGGTCAGCCATCATGTTCAATGATGTGCTCTCTATATCAGAATGTCAGAATCTTGTGTCTCGACTGGCAAAGTGTGCATTTCCATTCCAGTGCGCCCACGGCAGACCATCAATGGTACCGATAATAAGCCTGGGATCAAGAAATCCAGTAGCTGGTTCGATGCGCGGTCCCTGTGAAATGACCTCATCTATAAGCCATCTAGTCGGCACGAGTCAGCCAAGTGCCAAACCAGCAGAACCCTGCTCGGACTTCGTCGCTGCTTTCAGCAGGTGGCAGTATGGTTCCCCCTTAAAGTGAATCATATGACATCTAATTATATTATTTTGGGCAGAGATATAGGTTTGTATGATTGATTATACCCGGGTTGTACTCCGTATAGATTCATGGTTTTGTTAATTTTGCATACTCCATATTTTTCCGTGTTGAAATAGGTTTCTTTTGGTATATTTAAAGTTGGATAACGGATATGGATCGATCTTTGGGGCCTTACATACCCGTTCGGTGAATATCCGGAGAGATCTCGCTGGCGCTCAAAACACCATGAGCCGCAGAAAACACCCGTCGTGTTTTCACACGGCAGAGGCACCTGAGACGGGCCATTTTTTGTTTCACCTTGAGAATGAGCCAACCGAGAAGCTATTAATACGGCATGGGAAAAAGCAACCCTCGAGGATTTCTGGCCGTTTCTGCATACATCCCTGAGCCATCACATCGTCGCTCTGCCAGCCCCTTAACCGCCCGGATGCAAATGAATGAGAAGCTGCAGCCTTGATTGGTCATGTGATTAACTGTCCCGCGGATTCCGCCATGAGCGCGAGCAAGGGGCAAGACGACAGGGAACAGGCCATGCAGCATGCGGTGCAAGATGCAGAGGGTGGCCTGGTCGTACATACATGGGAGGCCACGGAATGCCGGGGACGTCGCTTGCCCTGCATCTTGCAGCTGCGGCAGCTGCAGCCGGCTAAACCTTTTAGCGCGACCTTGACCGACTCGACCAACACTGGCTTGCGCAGCCTTAAAATGCAGAGGTATAATATCACCGGCGGACACATGTATAACTGGCTGCCGACCTGTACCCGAAAGGAGCGACCCATACTCGCATGCCAGCCACGGTTTATTTTAAAATATCGAGGGAATTACGTACAACAAATCGATTAAGGTACTAAAAAAAGGGACCCTTCGGCCGGCGCCTCTCGAGACGTGCCGGTGACAAAGGAAACGAGAGATTTACACAGATGCACAGGGTTCCTGGTGAATCGAATATTTAAGAACTAAACATTAAATCTGCCTTTTTCTAATAGTTTCCTGCCCTTTCCCCCCGACCCACAAAGAAGCTGAAAGTAAGGAAATGGGTATACATGTCCTGGTCCGGCCCACCTCGCCATTTTGAAAACCGCACTCGCGTGCTTCCTCATGTAGATAGACGCACCAATGATAAACAGGACGCATCAAGACATAAAACAAAAACAAACTAGATGCCATGGGGTGTGGGAGAAAAACAAGCAATGAAAAATAAACAAGCAGCCGCCCAATGGGGTATTTCCGCCACCCTCAGCTCTAGATAACATAAGTATATAACAAACAGGTTGAGTATATTGCTTAAATAGACAGTTGAATTTTGCAGGAAAAACATAAACGTATTGACAACTAAGGTGGCATGGGATATCAGGTTAAAAACGCAAGCAAAAGAAAATGGCAGAAAACAAAAGCCTAATGTAAGTAAAAGAGTATGTCCGTATGAAGAAAAATGGGAAGAGATCTTTGTACGGCGGCGGCGTAGTAGAGATGGAGGGAGAGGGTGTGTCGAGTCAGTGGGGGTGAAGTAAGGTACTATCATGAAGGTCATAAAATCATAAAGCATAAGGTAAAGGGGGAAGGTCGGGAGTAGGGTCTAGGGGGGTTCGGAATAAGATGCTGAATGAAGATGGATGGATTTAAGGTAAAGGTATCATCATCACGCAGCTGGGACTTTGAGTTTGGAGCTATGAGTCCAGGCTAGAAAGTCGAACTTTTCCTTCGTATTTTCCTTAGCGAACAGGGACGGACTGGGTTCGGTTGGAGATCCGCGGGGTGTTACTGCGCGCTCCCGGGGCTCCAGAACGAGAGATCGTCGGTAGTATTGCTGGAAGCTTTTATCGCCGGCAGAGCGAACACGGACGAGCTGGTCTTGTATCCATGTCTGGAGCTCGGGGACCTCGCGGAGTCGGTAGGGGATCTGGAATCGTTGGAGCTCACTAATGATTTTGGCGGTTTTCATGTGCTTGTCAAAGTTGATGACCTCGATGGAGCTCTCGTCACCGGCTAGAGTACGGGTGTCGTGGTTGCCGTGGTCGACAAAGGTTAGGTCAGTGAGGTATGTTCCGACAAATGGCAAGCATGGCGGTACATGGTTTTGGAGTCTTTGTCGGAGGACGGCGTAGTTGCGGGATACATCGACGATCTCCCGGAGACTTTCCAAAAGATTCTTCGTCTTGATGGGGACAATCTCCCATGTACGCTTGAGGCGAGAGATGGTGGACGAGTTGAGAGAGCAAATGATGGCCATGAGGGTATCATAGTTGTTGAGTTCAAGGCACTTGGAGGCGATCTTGACCCAACGCTTGACAATCACTGCTCGCTTCTTGGGTTCCTCCAACTGCAAGATAGAGTCGGCGACCAGGTTGGCAATGTCCGTGGAGAGAGTAGACATGGCCCGGACATTGACGGCCAAAGAGCCAGTCTTCTTCATCCATTCCGTGGAAAGAAGCTCTTCTGGGAGAATAGAGCAGAAAATCTGAGATTCCTTGATTGTAATTTGGCGGGCAATCTCAAGAGGGTCAAAGTCGAGGATGCTGATGTTGGCACCGCCGCTCTTCCACTGCTTTAGGAGATTGAGCTGACTCTTAGTGATATTGGATTGAGGTAGAGGCTGATCTGGGCTGACATATTGAGCAATGGAGGTATTTGTCTTCCCAACCGAGGATATCAGGCGTGGGACAACTGGTCCATGTAAGGAGGAAACCTTTTCGACCAGATCAATCAAGCGCTTACCGGCGGTAGGTAATGTGATTATAAGTTTGGTTCTGGCGAAATTAAGGATGGATGGCAGAGCGATGTCATCAACATCATGTCTCCAATGGGCCTCGAGCCATCCCTTGAAGACGTTGTAAACACGCAGGCGGACTGGCCCTCCAGCTCTGGGGGTTTCGCCGATATAGTCGTAGCGGTCGATCAAGGTTTCAGCAAATTCAACCGGGGTAGTGAAGTGTCGGAATGTGAGATAGAAAGTTGAAACAAAGAGTGCGTCGGGTGTTGATTCATGACAAGTTAGCTTCTCAACCAGAGCGCGGAGGCTGCCACCGGTCACCTGGCCGTCCTTGAACATGAGCTCGTGGGCGTATGTGGTCTCCAATAGACTGTCCTCATCTCCATCGGATGAAGTTGACCCTACCTCGGTTTGCGAGTCCTCCTTCACAGGGGATTTAGAAGAACTAAGACTGGCCGGTGACGATGGACGCGTCGGAGTTTCGGCAACCAATGTGCTTTCTGTTTCAGTTGGCTCAAGTGTAAGATCCATGTCGTCGTCAGGGGGGAGTGGTATGTAGATGGCTGAGTCCTGCTGCCAGGGCACATCATCACCAGTAGTTTTGGTCGGAGAGTATGCGTGGAATGATTTAGAGATGTCGTGCTCGGAATTTGAAGTGAATGGATCACTGAAATCAGTGAATGCGGTGAAGGTGGAACTGAAAGATTCATCAAAGGGTGATGTTGGAGTGCGGAGAGTCGAAGCGTCAGTGAATGATGATGGTGTCAGGGATATCGATGAGACGGATCCGTCGGGGATTTGAAGGGGCAGAGGCCGCATGGACAATTCATCGTCCGTATTTGCAATTGCGGTCGAGGTATCGTCAGTTATTTCTGGTAATATCTTGCGGTTGGTTGGTGTTGTTATATCCTCCGTGCTGGGCATGGTAATCCCCAGGCCAATATTCTCCAGCTCGAAGTCCCCAATCTGCTCTAAGACTGTTCTGGCTCTTGAGACACAATCTCCGGCGCCGCGTACACAGTCGGTAGCGGCATCTACTAGCCGCTTTCCGTCCCCTGGAACGAAGATCGTCTCATCATCTGGGTTTGTTGGGGTGCGAAATGTGTTCTGGGTAGCGTTGACGAGCTCGGCGATCCGGTCATACATGGTATTCTTTGATCTCTCTAATAAGAAAGACCGGTGTAGGTCACGCTCCCAGACTTCTTCGACGACTGATAGCAGTGTCTTACAGGACTGAACAGCTTCTTGTGTTGTGACTATCAGTTCTGTTGATGAGGGTGACTGTAGATGTAGGCCAATAAAGGATCCAAGAACGCCCAGGAACTCGTCATGAGCAGCGGTTAATCGTCCCGAGGCTAGGTTGGGGTTCTTGGTGGTGTGGCCGCTATATGAAATTCTGTGAGATAGCGAGGGTCGTTTTATTCTGACAGATGCGGGACGTTGTGGTGTGTCGCGGCCGGATTTCTGGCTGAGGGTTGTAGAGTTGAGCAAGCTGCGGTCACCGAGGCTGCCTCTCCAGCTGCTGGAGGAGTTTGGAGTACCGATAGAGCTGGTTGCGTGTTGTGACGAAAAGTTGAACGAGCCATCGACTGGCGGAGTGAGAGGCCCCTTGAACATGTCCATTGTATTCGACGAGTTCATATTGTTGTCTAGATGGTCCAGCGCCCTTACGAGCCCGACTTCCTCACTCCAGACGTCCAAAAATCGAACTCCTCTGGTGACGATGCGGAATGCTTTAAGCAGCATCAAATCAAAGATGTTGTCCAGACAGGTCTCAAAGTGTCGTCCGTTTGCAATGTCCTGCAATTGCTTCGCCAGCTTGACGAGTGATGATAGATCCGAGAGAAGAGCTTTCCTGTTCCGCCGTAATCCGTCAACTCTCTTCACTAGCCGGCAGTCTCTCGTCAGACACTCTGATTTCTCCTGTATATGACAAGTAAGCAAAATGGACAACCACGGCAACAAAAAAAAAGAAAAAGAAAAAAGGAGAAGACAAAAAAGAAAGAAAACATATCCAACTTCCAAAGACCTACCAGGAGGAATCGAACACCAGCAATCATGCCTCTCATGTAATCCTGGTTTGAGAACTGGTGGAGGGTAGATCCGTTGCCTCCCCTGATGACATCCCAGAAGTCCATCAGGGCCTTTAGCAGCGGGTGCATCTGCTGAGGGTCGTAGGCCTCGCAGTAGTTGGTTGGCAGCCATCCTCTGGCGCCGGTCTCTAGCAATGTACCATCAGCCCAGCCGTTGGTGTGTACAGAATGGACGAGGATAACATCTCCCTGGTCCAGCGGTAGAGTCACGGTCGACGAGGAGACCGGCCCGTCTGGGTGAAAGGGGTAGAAGGCCCTCAGGTAGTTGTGGAACAGGGACCGTCCCTGGTCGCTTCGGTCGACCATCTCTTCTCGCGAGCTATGCGGCGTCAGCGGCGGCGTCATTCGGAGCTGAGCTTTCAAAGCGGTTATCAGTCTGTTGCTTGTGGCCACGGCCTGTGATCCTGCATCGTCCTGGACAGCAGAAGCAGCTGTGGCCGTTGTTGTTATTGCTGTTGCTATTGTTGCTGAAGTAGTAGCGAGGTTTAGGGGCGCAACATATTCGGCGTTCGATTCCATGATCCACAGCACCAAAGGTATAGCCAGACAATAGACAGCCAGAAGCGGAGGAGGAAGAAGCAGAAGAAGAAGAAGGCAAGCCCACTAGCTGTCAAACCGTCTTCTTCTTCCGTCTTCCGTCTTCTGCTCCTGCTTCTGCTTCTTCTTCGTTTCTTCCTCGGCGGTTCGAGATCCCAATAGTGCGAGATCGAGGCCGCTCCCTCTAGTTGCGATCAGCAGCTCCCTCAGGCTTGGTAGTCGGCCGCCGTCCTCAACATAGATGCCTTCGGTGCGCTCGACGGTGCCGTCTGCTGCCCTCGGCCGGCGCTGGTATGCGTGTATATGCGTGCTATAAAGTGTCCTGCTTCTAAACCAGAGGCAATCGAGAAATATGAACAGTCAACAAAAACCTGTTCAAAGCTCCAAGTGGCGAACCCTCAATGCGAGCATAACATGTGACCTCGCGATGGTTGTTTTTTTCCTTCTCTTTCTCTCTTGCAGCCAAAGAAGGGAAAAGGGACGTCTTGCTTACCGCGATGTGTAGTTGTGAGTTATGAACCTGCAAAGGGAGGCTGTTCTTCTCTCTCAGGACCAGCCAGCAGTTCACCGCGCACTTGGAGACAGGATGTACAGCGGATGGATGGGATTGAATAATAACAAGGACTCCCACGAGACTCTCTCCTTCCAAACTGTCCTTCGGGGGTTGTCCCAGATCTGGTTAATTAATATGGAAAACGTCACGACAGACAGATATCGTCACTCTCTCCACCGAGGGCTCCCACTTGGACCCCAGGGCTACGGAAGCTTGATAGCAAGACTGTTTCAGGACGAGCGTGTCAAAGAGGGTCCCCAGGAACAGGCAGATGGACGGACAGAAGGGGGGTCCAACTCTGCAGGAAAAAGCTTCACTCGAAGTCCAGCAATGCCAGTGATATCAAATTGGTCCTGCCCGTCTCTATGAAAGGAGAGTGGAGGTGAAGACAGGAAAGCAGCAGCTGGAGATGGAGATGAAGATGAAGATGGAAAAGGAGGAAGAGAGGAAGAGAGGAAGAGAGAGAAGACAGGGAGAAGAGACGGAGAGAGTATGTGTGCGTGTGTATGTGTCAGAATGGAAAACCCCCGGGTCCCAGGACGATGGACAGACACCATGTGCAGTCGTCTCTCTCTGAAGTCACAACAGGCATGCAACCTGTCTCTCCCTCTGCTTTTCGTCCTCGTCTCCCTCTTCCATGCACGCCGATGGAAGCTCAACGGGGCCGCTCATTAGCTGGGAGCAACGGGGGGCCCGGGAGGTCTTACTTCACTCGGTTAGTATGGACAGCCCGCCCTGGACCTTGTGTGGGTTTGCCGTAAATTTGAAAGTCATAGTAATCAATACGAGAAATATTATATATGCTAATGCCAAAAGGACTTAAAAAAAACAAAAGGAAAAGGAAAATCGAGCCTAAAAAAAAGAAGTCTCTTTTTCACCCTTTCCTTCCCAGTGGGATTGCACTAAAGGGGGCAAAAGCAAAGAGGCGAGGAGTCCAACGTTTGTGATGGCCGGCACTTTTGACAGCTCCTCGAACATCCTCTAGGAAAGCATCCTACAATCCTGGTGGATATTCAAGGTCCTAATTGTCCAATCCTTTTCGCCACATTCTGCGCACAACCATGTCGTCTGCATAAAGAGCTGTCTTGGCCGCCTCCAAATCCCTGACCTTGACCGTTTTGCTTGTTCTCTCCTGTGCATACGGGGAGTGGAGAGCAGTAAACAAACCACTCTGCTCTCTTCCTCTGCCATTTTTGCAAGCTCTCTGGATATGTGTGGGCACGCGCCCTCTAGCGCACTGGGAGCAACAAGAGCTTCCAACTTTATATATATACATACCCACTGCGCGGCAACACCAACCCCCATAGTCCCCTTGCGCTACACGTGTGTACTCCGTACAGCGTTGTTGTAGGGCGGAAAGGGGGAAGACGGAGGGGGAGAGATGAGAGCGTCGTCGGCCGGGACGACACCAGCCGACTTTCAAATCTGTCCTCAACGTCCTGGCAGGTTGCCCACGAGACAAGACCCCCCGGAAGGTGAGGAAATGAGGATAGACTATCGCCATCCTGCGGACCACGAAAAAGGGCTAGGCCACATGAGAATTTGTGACTATTAAGCAAATCATGAACGATGGAAACCCTGAGGGTCGAAAAGTACTTTTTACAAGAGAACGGGCGTCATGGACTATGTCTATACTTACCGCTTGTGTACTCGGTACGGAGCGCGTACGGGCAACATAGTGCGTATGATAGGCGGCCGAGATGTACCCTGGGCTGGCATCAACGTATCACCTTCTTGTCCCCAGTTCAGGCCAAGACGCCGTCTGCAGAACAAAAACCTCCTTGCACACCGATTGCTGGTTGGCTTTTTTACTGGAAAGCTGGCCATGGGATTGGGTGATTTCTTCCCTTGCTGCTTCCATCGGTTCTGTACAGGGGTTCCCTGGATAAGCCGAATGTGGATCAAGTCCACCTTCCGCCTACCTTCCGGCTCAATCGCCTGAATTGGCCTTGTACGGAGCAATGTCTCGGTTGTACTATACAAGAAAAAAACCACATCCTGTCTGTTATTCGACGATTTAATATTATATGACTATCATTATGTGCTGCCTGGTCTCGCAACGGCTCGCTCTTTCTCGAAGAATATTCCTTCGTTACGCAAAAAAAGGAACAAAATCCTCGCAGCGATTCTGTTCTGGATGCTCCCCAATAGGGTGAAGCCTTAGGCAGCATGATCGATTACTCAACGAGCGAGCTAACTAACTAGTTAATATTAACACTTTACTCCTCCTTTGCAGCCATGTTGACGATGGCTGTTGTGGGCAGCAATGCAAGTGCTAAAATCGGTACGAACAGAGTTCTCTGGTGGAGATCTCCATTGCATGATGAAATCACATTGTGACCCATTATTCTCGATGGAGGGCAGTCCTTGTTCAAAGAAGATGTGCCAACAAGCTCACCTGTCGTTGCTGTTGCTGCTGTTGCCGATGCGGGATCTTCTGCTCTGCTTCTTCTTGACAAGCGTCGATTGCCCGTCCAAGCATGCAGCACATCGGCCTGGGATACATGTTACCGAGCACTCCGGCCGGAAACGCGCGGGCATGAAGTTAAAACGGGGCTTTCTCTCCTTCATCCATAAATAAGAAAATGGACGAGGCGGTATGTTATGCAAAAGGGTTGCAGATGAAGGTCAGGTCAACATCAACGCCAATAACACAACAAGAGCAAAAAAAAATATAATAACAATTAGCCGTGGAGGGCGCCGCACCCTTCAACATGATGCCTGATACGACGCCAGCGATGAAGAAGAATCACACGTTCTCCAGGCGTGTCACTATCACTCGTGGAGTCAGGCAAGGCAGGGGAGAAAGGATCATCGTCATGATTGCTGCCGCTCTCCTATATTTCCTTCCCCAACCTTGACAAAAAAAAAAGCAACCATGGACAACCGTGAATTATGCATGTTTTATGGTTGCCTTTTAAGCTATGTAATCAGCCTCTGCCGCGCTGAGTTCACATGTCCTTCCGCTTTGTCGCTGGAGGTACCTTTTTCAGAGCAGTCAGATTTGGCCTTGCTGGCTCCCTTCCGTCCGGCATGCCAACCTCGCGTCCCTCAGGGAGGCAGCCTGTTATTTCCTCTCTTTCTCTCCAGGATATCAAAGGAGCATTGGAAATAAATAATAAAAACAATAAGGAAGTCTGTCTCGCAAAACGGCACGTTACCATAGCTGCGGTGCTTTTAGTGCTGAAAAGGCATTTTTCCGCCATCAGTCCTAGTGATCATCGAGGTGGCTTTGCTTTAGCTTGACCCGTATTAAAAGCAAAGAAGCTCGTACTGGCAACAGGCTTGCACACTCTGATTGGCGTACATGAAAAAAGCGCCTCCAGCGCTCGATGTTCAGGCGGCGGTCTTTGTAACCAAGCTAAGCTTGGTGACCCTCAGTGCGAACGGTGAAGGCCATCCATATTCGAGCTCGACATAACGCCCGCTGAGCCCCCAACAAGCACATACGTCGAGGGCGCCATGCTATCACGCACAACGTGCACGGAGTGCTTCTGACTATCTACAACAAAATCTATGGATCTTGGACGATCGACTGAACCACTCTTTTATGTGGACTATAGACTCTCAGTGCCTCATCCTAGCTAAGCTCTGGTTGAACTGAACGCAAGCAACAGAAGCGGCGAGCAAAGCTCGTGCTCAACCCAAAAGTACGCCTCGAAGCGGGTTTTTCTTCTTCTTTTTCTCCTTCCTACGGAGTACTCTCTTTTTTCCCTCTTGTTGGATCCTCCCTAAAATTAGAGATTGATTCAGAGCCATCCATCTTGTCTTCGAAGTGGGAGTGGATTTACGAACTGCGTAAAATTTTTATATGTTTTCTTTAACGACCCATAATGGTTCAACCCAGTGACACGGTTATGCGTTTCGGAGTACATCCACCCGGCTCAGATGCATCAATCATGACATTTCGCCTGGCCCTGTGCACTGGATAATGCCCCAGCTCGCATCCCTTGGCTGCGTATCGTGCATGTCTCTCTCTTTTGTCTGGTCAGCCAACGGCCAAAGCACAGCATACGTGGTACTCGTTTGTATGGGCATGTGCTCGCAGAACCTCAGGTTCCCACTCGACTGGTCATATCCCAGATCATATATCGCATACTAACCCTATGACTTCATATAAGCCCCTCACCCCGGTAACTCTTGCTTCGCCATCTTCTTTCCATGGTGAAACAAGTGCTCCGTAATATCACTCCGGAGATTAATGAGATGCTCCCACCAGGCATCTCTCTGCCTATTATTATTCTCCTTGCCCGCCCCTGATTTCGCCTTCGATAGTGCCTTGAATACCACCTTATTTTCCTAGTCGTTCTCATGTATGGAGAACTCCGTACAGATTCGAGAACTAGCCACAAACCATGGCAAAAATGTTCAGGCCCCTGGCTAGCCCTTCTCTTTCATGCCTAGACATGAACCGTGTGGGGATAGAGTTATTCTGTTGGTAACGACTGCGCTGCCTCCAAATCAAGCCTAGCTGTGAATACGTTTATCTACATTCGGAATGGTCTGCCAACTACAGCTGCAGCAGGGGGGTTCCCTCGGGACAATCTTGTATGGTTGCACGCTCCAGTTGAAAGAAACGGATGTTGTCTACTCCGTACCATCTAGCCGACGTCATATTCATATACGAATTCATGCTTGCCCTTGTATCCTTTCCTGCCGCTTTATTTTTTTTTTTATCTTTGGCCAACAAGGCAAGCCGTCACCGTGTACAGGGTACAAAGGACCTGACGCGGGCTGAGCAAACTGGGAACCTGCTAAATAAGTTTCTGGGTTCAAGAGTCAACCTTTGCGCACCTAGCTACCTTTTCGGGGGAGAAACGGCCAAGTGAATTCCGCCCTCAGCACTGCTGGATTCCGCCTTGGTTTTGTTTTGTAGCCTACTCCGATGGAACCATGTCATGAAGACGATCGCCGAACTACGGAGAAACGGAGTACTCCGTACAGGTTGCTACTTACATACATACTCCTATCCGCTAGGGAAGGGGCGGGAAAGGGTTAGGGAGAGTAGGGCCCGTTTGTCCAGGAATGATAAACAGAGCCAGTCTTATCCTATCGTGGGATGGACTACAGCAGCGCTTAAAAAAGGGGTTGAACGGGGTTTTGGTTGAGCAACATGACAGAGATCTGTCCGCCCCGTCTATCGGCCCTAACCATCTCCTAGGGAGTACTATTTGTAGTGGTCGCAGGCGGCTGCAGATTTGCAGAAAGAAAGGGGAACTTTGGCCTTCCCAAGCGGATGGTACCGGGTTACCTCCTGGATGAACTGAATGCATGCTCCATTACCTGAAGCGGACGGCGGTTGGGTTACACCATTGCTTCACAACCGCAGAATCTTTAATAACGGTCAATCTGGTGTCTATATATTCCCGCAGCTCTGGCGCCACATTGAGCCCATGGAACCCATAAAGTGCTCCATAGAATGAAAAGATGAACATGATTAATGATCAGAGGAAAACAAGGCGAGCAAAGCAAGAGAAGAAGAAATACTTTCTCAGGGGCTCGAGAGCTTCGTCCGAAAGCGGACGCTTTTTAGGGCTTTCCTGCTTTGTCATCTTAGATAAGATAAGATGGCACGTGATATCGGAGATAACGCCAGCGGGCGAAAATAACACAAGCAAAAAAAAGAGTCAGAAAGAAGCAAAGTAGCAAAGAAAGAGACCAGCAGAGCAGAAAGACTTGACATTGGCGTTGGCACTGGCAGCCTGGAGAGAGGAGAAAGAGAGATTCACTACTCCTGCTCTTGGGAATACATAAAATAACGAAAAAAAAAAAGGCAGGGGAATATGGCCTCCTTTACGATCAAAGTGCCTTGCTCATCCGCCAATATCGGCCCTGGGTTCGATGTTATTGGTACGTTAAGACCAATCTGGGTTCAATAGACTTAATATCACCGCGTTTCATTACTACCAGGCATCCTACCTTGGTGATGGTCTCATCGAAGGCCAGGATCGTCCCAAGGGAAGCATAAATCCGAGATAGTCATGGGCTAACGATATACCATGTTAGGCTTGGCGCTATCTATATTCCTTGAGCTGCATGTCACGGTGAAAGCCCCCAGCTCGAACCCATCATCCGGTCCTCGATTAAATTGCGAAATAACATATGAAGGAGAGAACCCCGATGAGGTCAGTCTTGACCCGGAAGTAAATTTAATCACCAGGGTGGCACTATACGTGCTCCGGTGCCACAATCACCATGCATTCCCCGTCGAGTGTCACGTACACATCAAAAACCCGATTCCACTGGGCCGTGGATTGGGGTCTAGCGGTGCTGCTGTGACCGCAGGTGTCGTTTTGGGCAATGAAATTGGTAAGCTGGGCCTGGATAAGGCCAGAATGCTGGACTATTGCCTTATGATAGGTGAGGGCGCCTTTGCCGTTTCCGATCCCTCCACCCCTTGATACTAATTCACGTTGTTTTTGTAGAGCGCCATCCCGATAATGTTGCTGCTGCTTTGTACGGTGGCTTTGTTGGCACATATCTGAACGAACTAAAGCCAGAAGATCTAGCGTGGAAGGAAATACCCCTTAGTGAAGTTCTTCCTGCCCCTGCTGGCGGAGTAGATACTGGCATCAAGCCACCAGAGCCGCCAGTTGGAATTGGCCACTACAAGAAGTTTCCATGGGCGAAAGAAATCAAGGCGATTGCTATCATACCCGATTTTGAACTTCCCACAGCTAAAGCAAGAGAAGTCCTTCCTCAAACATACTCGAGAGCTGACTTGGTAAGTCCTCTCTTTTACACTTCTATTTCGGGGTGATCGGCATTAATATGAATATTACACTCAGATATATAACCTCCAGCGTGCAACCTTACTTCCTTCAGCATTGGGTCAATCTCCCCTTGACCCCGACATGATCTATCTTGCGATGCAGGATAAGGTGCACCAGCCTTATCGCAAGCATTTGGTCCCTGGGTTGACTGAGATCCTCAGTTCAATGAATCCAACCACCCAACCGGGCCTGCTTGGCATTTGCCTTTCAGGGGCAGGCCCAACAATATTGGCTCTGGCGACGGAAAATTTTACGCAAATCGCTGAAAGAATAATAAAGACATTCGAAGCCAATAATGTCCAATGTAATTGGAAAGTGTTGGAGCCTGCAGATGATGGTGCTACCGTAGTTTATCACAAATAACTAGGTATATAACTATAAAGAATTGTTCTTGATATCTATCTATCTATCGTATTTCTAAAAAGGGCAGTTGGTTCAACTCCATGTTAAAGAGTAAACGTATGTTATTTGAGGCCTGAAAGAGGTCGGGAGAGTGTTGTGATATCTGAAGGCGTTCGTTGATTAGTTCTATATATGGCTTTTTCTATATATGGTCCTTTTTTCAGGATGAAGTTGGAAATACCGAATATCTGAATGCTTTTTTGTCGTGAAAACGAAATACTGTCCCTTCCATAGAATAACCAATTGATACCTAGTAATAGTAGCTTCGAGAGCGTTAAAACATCCCCTCCATATCCAAGTCAATGAATTCTGGGTTTCCGACACCCATATCTGTAGGGTTTAACATATCATCAAAAATGCTTGCGTCAATGTCTGGCTGAGCCATTGTCACATCAGACCCAGCGGGAGGCCCAGTCACTCCTTCTGCCGTAGCCGCATCCAGAATTGCATCTAGAGTGCCATGAGTTGCATCAGTGCCTGTAGTAGCGAGGTTTTGTTGCTGCTGGCCTTGTTGCTCCGCTTGTTGACCCACGTCCAGTTGCATCTGTCCGTCTTCTTCTACCCCTGTAAGATCCATATCTGCCATGATATTGCCAACGTCAATATTGTCAACCGCCTGGGGTATTTGAGGAATAGATGTAAGAGCATCGACACGTCTAGCCAGCCGAATAACAAGCTCAGCTCGATGTGGTTCGGATTCTATCATCTTGGCGAGAGACTCTCTCTGGAGATTAAGCGCATCTCTGAGGTTTAGCATCTGGCTGCGAGGTAATGAGTCCTTCAAGGTCCCACCAACAGATTGATATGTAGCCTGTTCCCATGAGAAACATTCACCCATCGGCGCACATATCAATGTTGCAGCAATATCAATGGCCAGATCACCACTACCCGTTTCACTTTGCAACTTAAGCTCTTCGAGTATTCCAACTAAAACTCGGACAGAACCTAGATGCTTCAATCCAGCTAATAGTTGCCTATGGGTATAGCTTGGGGGAGTCATACTGATCTCAGGATCTGTGCTCCATAGTACCAGGGACGAGAATGTGTTTCGGATCCCAGTGACCATTCCACCGGGGGCAGAACTGGACCTCCACCCTTCTAGTTCCGCACGATTGGATGTGCCCGTTCGTTGGAAAGATTGATACGGCTCAAGTGCTTGAAGAATGGGATCAATGTCTGTTCTTGAGGGGTGACGGGTTTTTGCGGTTCTCAACTCATCTGCAAGTGCCCGCGCAGTGATGGATAGCACAGTACGATGGATTTCCTGAGCCTCTCCGGATATAGAGGTAGGCTTTACAAGGGTAGCTAGAAGCCTAAGGGTGGTAGTTAAGTCGGTACCAGACTTCCAAATATGTTTGCCTATCCACGATAGAGCCATCACCAATGATGGTAATAAGAATGGTTCTAAGAGGTCTTCTAGCCCGTTAATCCAATGCACTAATACCGAAGTAATATAAGCTAGAATGGCAGGATTGACTTACACTCAAATCCACCTTTGAGGGTGTCAAACTCCAGCTTCCCAGCCTCACACGCGCTCAAGCTCTGGCAGAATAGCGTAGCAACCAGAAGATAAAATTCTTGCGGGCTACAAGAGGACATGGATTCGTCACTAATCCCTTCGGCAATAAATAAGGCTGTGATCCACGCCCCAAGGTTCTGCTGCTGTTTCTCCGTCAAATCCTCCAGCTTTTGGCTTGAGGCCCCTTTCTCGAGTAATCGACACATAAAGGAATCTGGGTTGAAAACTCCAAGATCCTGGTAACTCAGATCATATTTGTACTTGAAAGCAAGTACCAGGAGAAGAACACTTCCGAATTCGTCGTAGACAGGTTGGCTTTCCACTGCATGCTGTTACTAATGAGCCGTTTGATATAGCGCACATTTTAATGCTTACCTTGGTCTTCATCCCATTTCCAGGAGTCCAGTAAAGCACAAAGAGGTTGCAGTATAGCCTGTGGGCTCTTAAACAGTAGCATAATGTCCAGTGCCTGGGGCCTACGTGACAAGGAATTGCATAAACTTTTCAACGTCATGGTGTCTTTTCTCAGGCACATATTATGCATCACCTAAGTCTTCCTTGTTAGTGAGTGTAAGACAGTCTTTGTTTTCAGGGAGAACCCCCTACCTCAGCTATAGCTTCAACAATTGCTCGTGCGTTACCATCCATCGACTCGATACCATTCAGTAATTGTTCCGCTCGTTCATGGTTATTGTTTATCTGAGACACTAAGTCGTGCTTGATGAATCTTCCTCCGTTTGGTAAAGTTTGCATCGGGTTCTCTCCCAAGAGGCGTTCAATGCTTGACTCGGGTATTAATTTATGCAAGGCACACGAGAAAAGAAACTCTTGTCTCACATCAGATAGAACTGAATTACCATGAGTGGAGAATATTTCGGAAAATGATGGGAATGTGTTTGGGTCTACCCGTGCTAAAGCACGGGTGATACATAGTTCAACTGGTATTGGCTCTACCACTGATCCCGCTAGGTCCGACAGGAACGGAGGGAGCTTATTAACGAGAAATGCTCGGAAGAGAAACATGGTTTGTTGTGGCTCGTTCCGGTACATTCCGTTTGACAGGACATCAAATGATGCCGTGATAAGTTCTTCGACGAGTGCCATGTGGTTCCCCTATGGAATATAAGTATGGAGTAGATATGAGGGTATATATTAAACCTACCCCGTAGCGATTATTTAGGTAATTAATAAGAAGGTTATCGTCTATTAACGGTCGCCCTACGAGCTATGGGAAGTCTGTTAGTATATCCAAGTGGAACTCGCGATGGAGGTGGACAACGTACCAGAGAGTTGACATATATGTACAACCCAGCCCTAGAGCTTACAGGAGGAATGTCCACAACCCTAGATTCAAATTCCATGGTAGAAACAGTCGTATCCTCTATGACATGGTCTTGGTTTGACTTTTCGTCTTTCAAAAAAATGTTGAATTCCTTCTGTAATTGGTCAAGCCTATTTCGTAAGGGAATAGAAATCTCAGCGCAGATGGGAGAGTACGCTGTCAAAGCTCGGGCTAGTTTCGTTCGTTGGTGTTTAAAGGCTTATGAAATCGTTAGAAGATCCGGACATCACAACACAACTCTTCTCCAGAAATATACTTTCCGGGACTGAACACCCTCGAGAACTCACTTTCTGCATGTTGAAATGATAGTGCGTTTGCACCGACTTCTGTGCCAGCTAGGGCTCCAAAAAGAAACCCGACAGCGATGAAAATAGAAACCACATCTGGGGTACCCAGCAACTGTGTTCCACTACCCTCACCCTTCTCCGACCCGAGATGAGCATTCCATGACACCAGAGCTAGGATCCAATCAGCTATGGCAGAGCAAGTGTCCATGAACCCAAGAGCTGTCTTTGGAGAATGGCCTGTGGTCACAGCTGTAATCACATTCTGCATGATCCCATAATCCGTCAATAAAGTAGCTGGCCCTTGTGAACCTGCTGGTTCCGTAGGACCTTTCTCGTCAATTTTTGGTTTTTCATCGTGGTTTTGTGTATGATTTTGTTTCTTCCAGCGCCGAATGTCGGCTTTAATGCTTGAGTGAGCCAGAAGAGATGGCAAAATCGTAAATAGGTCGACCTGTGTCAGCTTTTGGACGGCATCCACATAATCCGGTATTAACGGGTCCCAGTCAAAATCTGTAACTGCCCTTGACTCTAGGATAATATTGAAGAGGTCCATGTGTGGAACAGGGTGGCGGCGTAGCATCACTTTGGCTAGCTCATGAAACTCATTCGTGCTGATTCTTTGGAGGACACATTGTTGCAGAAACTTCTGCCATTCCAGCCTTGATGCACCAGACGGTCTTTTTAGCAGTGAAACCATGTTGTAGGTATCAAATGTCTTCGGGAAATGGAGGCCACTGTGAGGAGAACCGGTATTACATATCGCTCAGGATCCCGTTAAGAATAAAATCAACACTAATGGGCCAAGGGTATGTTTTATATATATAATTGTGAGCCGCAGAGGTGTTTATGAGCTTGATAGAGCAAGGCTAGGTCTCCGTACCAGCACCAGGCTGGATAGTTGGAACTATAAGGCTTACTGTAGCCACTCTTTCGATATGAAGTAGCTCAAATTCCTTTATCCCCAAACTGATGAGGTTGCTGGTTTGAAGATTATATAAGCATACTATTATGTAATCTAGTAATTTAGTAATAACCTACGGAGTAATCCATATTCATTTCATCAAGCGCCTATCACAATGAAAAGGGCGATGGAATGGCCAGAAAAGCGGGAACGGATAGTTTTAAGCCTAAAACATGCCCTTGATATTTTATAGTGCGGCTCCGTGCTAAATATGTGCTTATCTACGTTATGTACGGAGTATATACGGGGTATGTATGGAAAAGAAACATTCACGTGATATACGATAAATTCCTCGCTTATGTAATACATATCAGTATCACATGATACCCACGTGGTTTAACTGCTGCGCCACAGGTTTAACGACATGCTTGGGAAGGGTGTCTTTGGGGGAGAAGATGGTGTTGGCGAACAGACGCCAGGGGCGAAGTACAGGCCGCTTTGGGATGATTTTGCGCTGTGGCTAAACGCTTATATTCTGGAATCTTCTGACCATGTATTACACACTTGCGTCACGCCTTTGATTCCGTGCAGTAGTTAGCTAACCATTCAAATAATTCGCCACAGCCACATGGGAAACAAGGGCGTTTACGGTGGTGTCGTTGAGCCCGGTCCCTATTTCAGTGGTAAGCGAAGAAATAATTTGCCATAGCCATTGATCCAACACTCATCGTGGGTAGATCGAGGCCAGCCTCGAGGGTAGCGTTAGTGGAGTCCTAGTTCGTGTGTGAATGTATTCAGGCTAATATAGCTGCAAGATATTCCTATTGCATTTGCCTCATTTGCCATTCTGCACGATACTTATATGTCGTATACCATTCAGCTTAGCCCTAAGGTTTGGGCCCATGCATTGCTGCTCAAATTGATCAATAGACTGGGTGTTTAGATGGCGGACGTTGGCAGTTGATAAATACCAGGGGAATAATGGTGGCGGAGACTGATTGAGGTACTTATTGCATTATTATTAATAAGCAATATCAGGTAACGAAGGTATTGAAACACAAAGATACATAGGAAATATCTGTTGACCTGAAGAATAAGAAACAAGAAGATTGAAAGGCCGTTTTATCTTCATCTCTCGCCTCCTTACGCCAAATCAGAAATATAATAATGAGACGGTAATACGGATGTAACAAACGAGCGGAGGGTATACAAAGGTTGCCGCCTGAAGAAAATAAAGGAAAAGAAAGAAACCATTCCCCTTCTCTCTAGCAGGGAGGAAATGGCTAGGGGAATGACAGAAAAAATGCATATGAGAATCGTTGCCGTAGGTATCGTTCATCATCATCAAAAATTGTTGCTTTACTTCTTCTTCTTCTTCGTCTGGATTGTCCTCCCGTCAGGTCACTTAAGACCTAGTGCTTCTGCTATGTCGCGAATATGTGTTCGACTGGCGGTCCGCCATTTCATCCGGTGACCGGGGGCCAATCATCCAATCTTCCATCGCAAGCCACTCACTCCAGCTCTTCTCCGCTGCTTCAATCTCGGAGTTTTCTGACCCTTGCAATGGCCTGAGGAATGGAACTGTCTCAAGAGGCAGAATATCGTAATCCTTCTTCACGGCTGCCCACCCTCCGCTCTTGGCGGCAAAGAAGAAATTGCGGCGTTCTTGTTCATGTAAAGAGCCGATCCCTGAAGCCCAGTCGTCACCGAAAAACCCATGTAGAACTCCTGGGTAGTCCATGCCCGTTGCAACTAGTCGACGAATGTAGGGTACCATAGATACGCTTGGAGCAACAGGAGCCCCTGAAGGTGGACCTCCGGGTGGAGTTGAAAGGGCAGCATCGGCCGCGGAATTGAAAATAGGGGTTGGCTGTCTCTGGAATGGGAGGTGTATATTTAGGAATGAAGAAAGAGCCTGTACAGGAACCGTGTGCTGTGCGTAATCGAGGAAATATCGTTGGCAGCTCTGGTAGCGTGGGTACCATTCAAAGATATCGAACGGGGTGTCTTCAGGGCGCTGTGAGGCTTCGGACATGCCTGCCCTAACCACCGAATCGTAGTGGACGCGAGGATCTGTCGACATCGTGGCTTCGGGCGCCTCTATAACCTGGCTACTCTTTCTACTACTAAAACCTTTAGCGCTCTGTTGGTCATATAAACATCGAAGGCAAGCTTTATCCTTCAGGGTCATGAATGCTCCCCCTGATTTTTCTCATTACGTACTCGGTAATTAGAAACAGGGAAGAAGTCAAAGCAACGGTCGCCACGGCCCAAGGCAAAAACCGTCCTAGGAATTGGGGATTGGTATCTACCTGTTTCCGGTCCACGCCTTGCGAAGGGATGGCCAATTGGACGTACGAAGGTAAAGGGTAGCAGAAAGGAGTTTCCTTAATAAACCTGAATCTCTCTCGGGTATCTGTTTTCCTATGGACATTGGCTGGGAGGCGGGTTTATAGACTGCTGGCGCATGAGAGAACGCAAGGTACAACGTAAGGCCCGAGCTAAAATAGTAAAATCAAAAATAAAAATAAAAAAAACATAAAAAAGGGTGAAGGGAAGGCAATATATGCACGTCAATAGGATGAAGGCGGATAGCTATGGGAATCAGTATATGCTGGCCACACTTTCCAACAAGTAGTTGAGTAAACCCGGGTGGACGGAGGCGTATATTATAGGAAAGGGGACTGAAATAAAGTAACTTGTGCCTGGGTAGCGATTGACTTTTTAAACACCGGGGGAATCTGGTCTCGAGACGTCAATAGAAGAGGAGGATATAAGAAAAAGAAAGGTAGACAAAACCTCCTTCGGCCTACTTGGCGTGGAGGCGAAAGTACGGAGTGGGCTTCCGAGGAACGAAATGAGAATCACGCTCATATAGTTGAACCAGAGTGGGAAAAAAAGAAATAGGAAGTAATAGAGGCGCTACAAGGGTTGGGCGTGAGTTAGTCAGAAGGGTTTGATCTTTTGTGGAAGGAAGAAACATGCTCCACTATCTCTCCTGCGATGGACTTGCATTGCGTGTGGAGCTACTCGAGCTAGTTTAAGGGCTGATTCTTTCTGGGCTGTATGGGAGTTTAACTCGGGAGGCAAAAAACAAAAAGCTGTCAGTTTGCCCCTGTTAAATTAATGAATACTTACGTTTGGAGGAAGGACAGTTACCGAGAGCATGAGGTGTGTTATCTAGCGGTGCGAGTGCATCACCGCCAACGGGCACCGTAATCGAGATGTCGAGGCCGGTAGTCGGTGCCGTGTATAAACGTTTAATGGCCGGGCTTTATACAACGAAATAGGGGCCATAAAATAAGGTGGGTTGAAGAGGCTCGTTTCATAGGCGTTAAAACATTCTCCAACCAGTTTATTGATGGTGAACTTCGTGAGTTCCCTAGCTCATTTATCTCCGTGAGCGTCGATTGGGTAGTCATATGGAGTGTGCATGCATACGTTTAATGCCCAACATGAAGAGATCGGTCAAGCAGGGGGGGAATGATGGGGTGTCCGTGTTTCATAGTTTTTTCATGTCAAGGCCTCGCAGGCGCCAGTATGCAGAGACAATACTCTATAGTTTGATCTGCTTATCAATTTAGGTTCGTCTCCGGCTTACCTAGCTTGAGTGACCACTCCAAGGGCCGCAGAAGCGATCTATATGGAAGAAGATAGGCCTCCAGTCCCCGTGCCCGTAATTGAGGGGGTACAGTATCGTCACTGCAGGCTGTATTTTGGATGAGAGTGCGTCCCGGGGTAAGGAGGGATAATTGGGATATTTTGGTTTCTACTGTTCGCTAGAGAGATGCCTTCGTAACGGAATGTCTCGTGCATTTTCCAAGGCGGGGCCCCCAAGCAGTTGCGTTTCTCCCTGTAGACTGGTACGGTACTTGGTAAGAGCGTTTGGGAGCTTCCGGAATACCCCGTCTCGTAATGTCGGTAGGACCTTGGTTCATCTGAAGTTTCCCAGGCTACCTGTTCCTTCTGTCTCCTCCTTCTTTTCTTTTTAGACTCGTCCTTTCGTTCTCGCCTGCTCGCATGAAGCGCCTTGGTCCAGGAGCCTCTGGCGGCAGTACGACGTCGTACCGTTAGTGGAGAAAATAGCCTGGTGGACCCATGAATGACAACGAGCCAGTGGGACAAGGTGATTGGGCATAGCATTGTCTGTTTTGCTGGCCGGAGGTACGGAGGACGGGGGAAGGATATGGTTATTTTAAATGGCGGCAAGTCGACCCATCTCATTTGTCCCCTGTACATGACGTCTACCCAACATAATTTGCTGGTGGTGACAGCCATATTACACGCTCAAGCAGCATCGTAACCGCTACTTTAAAGGCGGGCTGGAGAGAGCGAATATAATGCACACCACGGTTAAAATACGGAGTGAAGAGCCTTTGTCCTTTTCTCTCTGTCTTGGATTTCGGTGGTCCTTGGAATCCTGGTTGTCCATGGCGTTCTGCCTCAGAAAATGGCAGATGCATGCAGTAGCTGGTCAAGAAACGGCCAATTGGATGTATAAGAGTATCAAGTTCTTTCGTGCTTTTTGGAACGTGGTCGGTGCCCTTGTGCTTCGATCGGTTGACGATCTGATGATCCGATCTTTTGTACTCCGTACTCCTTGTCCTCTTTCTTTTCTTTTTCCCTCTCTTTCCTTTTTGTCTTCCTTTGGTTTACAATCCAGATGCAAGTCGGATCCTTGGTCCAGAAGTCTAACCCCACTACTTCGATCACTCTCCATCTCTTACGGGGTACATTCATCATCACCCGATATTAGTCCGAGCTATCTAGCTTTGTAGTAGTGAGTGAGCATGCAGAGGGTACTCTTTGGTACGACAGAGGATTCCTTGGAAGAATGACTGTTTTGTTTGAACTTTGCGGTACTTGGCGTGACGCAGAGTGAGGCAGGGTCCTATAGTGCGGTAATGAGACGCAGGAACGGGAGTGGATTTAGTATTCATTGGGAAGCCATGCTTCTGATTCGTAAAGAGAGACAGAGGGCGGAGAGGGAGAGATCAGAGAGAGCAGCCCACGATGCCGTTATTCGATCACCTAGGGCTGCTGGCCTATCAGTTGTGAGGCACAGGATGGAGAAATAGGGGGATTGAATGGCGTCCTATTCCCCCTTCCAACCCCGGGCCCCCCCTCCCCTTCCACCCACGACGTCTCGAGAAAGCTAGAAATAAAAAACAAGGAGGGGGGTCAAGCCACAGCTCCAGGTTCTCGGTAACTAATTTGCCACGTCAAATGAGGCCTCTTGTTAGTATATGTCAATGTAGAGTCTGTTTCTGTGAGCAAGGGAAGTTGATCACCGGGACAGGTCAGGACAGACAGGCGATGTAAGCCTCCTGCAGCGCAATTGAGTAGTAAAGAGCAGCTATTTTTTTAAGAAACTAAGAGGTGTGCAACCCATGCAGCTCCCAAATTCGAGTCACCTCGGCCGGCGGGCTCCCGGGTTGCATGTCGAATTCTCTGAAGTTGACCGGCTCTCGTACCTTTGGCGTTTTGTCCCCATCAGCCTGCGAGCCTATCAGAGCGGACGGTGGCTGTGGCTGTGCAAAGTACGCACACCAGCCACATATCAGCACTAGCCACATATCAAATTCTCTTCTGGCTTGTGATGCACCAGGACACCGGCAGCGAGCGGACCTGGTGCATTCGTGTCCAAGCGACAGGATCTTCCTGCAGCTCTCCATTAGTGTCCCCGTCAGGTCCTTCCGTTCTGTCTGCCTAAAAACAGGGCATGCGGTGCGCGGGAGGCAGAAGGACCGAGTAGAGGCCGAAAGTGAGGCGGGTCGTCCAAACTAGCAGCTTTGCGGCTCGTTAGTTACGCTGCAGGGTCTTGTGGCTTGATAGATTTTTCGTTGTTCTGTCTGTGGCTTGCCTCGTCCGTGTGGCTTGTTCGTCATCCAGCACGTATAACCAATATCAAAATCAAGATATCAAAAAAACAACTTGCGCACGGCAGCAAAGGAATTCCATCTCCGCTATTTACACCTCTGCATTCCTTTCTCTTTGCTCCAATAGATGCTCCAATTGATTTGAACTTCTTTTATTTTTTTTATTTTTCATTTTTCCCTTCCCCGATTAAGTGATTCTTTGTGATATGTCCAGCCATCTCGGCTTCTGATATCGCCACTCCACCCGGAGAGTCTGCCCTATTGAAGGAGGTCAAGCCGCAGGAACAGCATGCTGTGAGCGGGATGGACCCTGTCGATGATAGAGATAGCTAGTTGTTTTGAAGAACATCCTTGCCCCTATTTTCTCGGTCCTCTGTTACGTCTCACCGCTCCAATCGGCCTGAACGGGGAGTATGAATGTGATTGCACAGACGTTTTTGAGTGACATGCTTTCGTTTTCGTTGTGCTCCGCTGACATTAATATGTTAGCCTGTTGGTCCCTTGCTGAAGAACAAGTTGGCAGGACGGCTACCTTTGGTTCAGATCCCGGAAGCGCATGGTGATGGATGACCTTAGTTTTCTCAAATCATTCAGCCGCCACTGGCAAAGGAAGGAATACGGGTACCACCTCCATAGTTGCCGCAGAGAGCCTTTCTGTGGATACTCAAAGCCGTTTATTTCCATTGTGTTCTCGAGGGAGTCGGTATGCGCGTCCCATTGCCACTCATGAGCTTGAGCTGCTTCTTTACTCACTGCTCCATGTTCATTTGCCATGGAATCCTAAATTAACGTGGCGCTTATCCTTCCGATTCAACTTCCTCCAATGTGGTATCATCTCTCTGTTTTCCCACTAGGGTAGTACGCGAGCACATGTTTCCAATGCCATCATAGCTTCCTCGGCACTTGAAGAAGCGGCAACCTCTCAGTTTGATGAGTATGAGCAATATGTTGGTCATCACCTTTAAAAAAGGGCCAAATACCCCTGTCGACAGTTTGTCAATACCATGGTTATCAATGTAGCCTTTGCTACTGGGAGATTTGATGCAGTGACAGCTCAACAATACCATATGAAAGTTAAAAGTTGCGGTGTATATCTGCGGAACACTCACTGCTCTGGTAGTTTATTTCAGGAAGAATTAACTCTACCTATACACCGCTTTTCAAGTTTGCTTTAACATAGGGTTTCCTGCAGAGGGAAGTGGGCAGGATTTGCATTAGTCTTGAGCATCACCGTGTTGGGGAAAATCCCTTTGCGGTAGGCATATTTTGGGTCTACTTCTACCATTGGGAGTCATTGTAGGAAATGGAAAGAACAGAATGCATGTCCTCGTCTATACCAACTCGTGCATTTATGATTCGCAGTTAAGAAATCGATGGATATAACACCTTCACATGTGGGCGCCCCAACTGCTAGCCACATGTGAAAGTCGAAAGAGACTATAGATACAGTACTCTGTTACCTACCATGATACCATTAGGACTTTATCCAGATCCTCCATTGGTTACATCCTAGTATTTTGGCCCTTGGAGGGAGCAGCGGTGTGCTTTAACTTGACAGCATTTCTGAATATTCATCTGAATTTGATATGCATTTACAGGCACACACATACTTGAACCACACACCATAACAATAGAGGAGTCATATTCTACGGGCTTCATCAGCACTGGTAATACTAGGCCGTCTTGCTGAATGGCGCCACAGTCCTTACACAGTATTGAAAGGGTCTTCTGTTCAGCTACTTAGTGTATACAAACACGCAAGAGTTTTCAGTACGGAGTACTCCGTAACTGATATGCTTTTTAATAGCTTATTTAGCGACCAGGGGATATCTCAGCCCTAACATTCAAGCCTTTTATTAGCCACTGTATGGGCCTTGTACTCAGTAGCCGAGCTCCCATCAGATAGCTAGAAACATCAAAAGCAGCGTTCTTTATCTTAGCCGGAATTTATATTATTAACTGTCTAACGCAGCCATCCAATACGAAGGTGTCTACCATTGTTACTTATTGACTATTTGCGCCAGGAGCAAGCCTGAACACTGGATTATTATTCCCTATCCCACAGTGCTAAGATGTCTCGTCAGCCAATTAATATTAACTCAATACCAGATTGCCTATTGTTATTAAGCGTCGCCTCTCAAAGCACAAAGAACGCCACTACCGATACGCTTAGCGAGAGGCGTCCACCAAATAACCATCTAGCCATACTCCGTAGTCATCCTGTCAACAATGGAGGCGCCGTTGGGTCAGCGACGAATATATATATATATGCATGTATATGTGAGGCATATACACATCCATCTGTCTGTAACGCAGAAGACGGAGAGCGCCGATAGCTAACCGTGGAAGAAGATTCCGACCAAGAAGCCGAGGCGAGAGATAAACAGTCGGAGCTGATCTTGGAACAAGCTAAGTCACACCTAGAGATAAGAGAGAAAGAGAACAGCGGTTCGCTCTCTCCGTTATCGGAAAACTATTTGCCGTCGGCTCCTTCTTATCTCTGCCTCTCGCTCCATGATATTCCACTTTCATATGCTGGAAGGTCGGCTCGGTAGACTCCATAGGGTAGTTTCTTTATCTTCTTTTGGCATTATCTCGCATGCATAGGTAGTTAATAGCCCGAGCGGCTTGGGCGGCCGAATCTCTGAGCGAATAAAAGATTTGGGGGCAAGTGTTAATCTCCGACCTTGGCTTGCGTGGGATGCGCGGTGCAAGACGTTCCGTTGATAGCGAACCAGTGTAGAGTAGTAGTGATTAATAACTGTGATAGGTAATAGGGTAACGGATAGTGAATAATTGGCTATCGGGAGAGGCCTTTAGGCAGTGTGGTTGCGAATTGGCGTATCTGGGGATGGAAAGATCCCGATTGTTATCTCTATCTCTACAATGTTGGCTGGGAGGAACCGGGAAATTGTCTTGAGCCTCCTCCAAGCTCATGAGTCTGGCTGGGTTTATTAAGCTATTAACCTTTCCCTCGTCTCTCATCCTCGTTCTTATATTTCCATCTTACCTGCTGCTATCTCACCTTTGCCCATCGAATTCACCTTTGCCCATCGAATATCCCTTGGTTGTTATCTCCTTAGCTTCTTGCTGTCTTATCAAGCTCATCGCTAGTTGCCGATACAGCGACGATCGCCACGCTGCTAGAAACTCGAGGAACTCCTATTCAACAGCAACGGAACAGAGATAAGGAATAAAGATGTCCAACTTGCCCATGGAGCCGGAGTTCGAGCAGGCCTATAAAGGTTAGTGTGGATATGATGGATGACTTTACCCTGAGTCGATCCTGGTGGATGAAGGATTGAAGCTGGTATTCTAACAAGGTCATATATATAGAGCTTGCCTGGACGCTCGAGAACTCGACCATCTTCCAAAAGCATCCGGAATACAGGAAGGCATTGCTTGTTGCCTCTATTCCAGAGCGAATAATCCAGTTCCGTGTCACATGGGAAGATGACAAGGGCCAGGTAGGTTGATGCCAATTGATACGCATGAGGGAAGGGAGGAAAGGTGCTGACAGGCTGGTGGTATAGCTGCAAGTCAACCGGGGCTACCGAGTGCAGTTCAACTCGGCCTTGGGTCCGTACAAGGGCGGCCTGCGATTTCATCCAACAGGTGAGACGCTATCCCACTTGCTCTCATTGGGGGGACATATACGCTAACATTGGTCTGTGCAGTGAACTTGTCCATCTTGAAATTCCTGGGTTTCGAGCAGATCTTCAAGAATGCTCTTACAGGCCGTATGCGCTCCACTCAATGATATTTTTTCTGGCGTCAAACGAGAGAGGCTGGGCTAATATGATATGTATATGACAGTGAACATGGGCGGTGGCAAAGGAGGCGCCGACTTCGATCCAAAGGGAAAATCAGACAACGAGATTCGGAAGTTCTGCAGTGCTTTCATGATGGAGCTAAGCAAGCACATTGGCGCTGACGTTGATGTGCCTGCTGGTGATATCGGAGTTGGCGGTCGTGAGATCGGGTTCCTCTTCGGCGCATACAAAAGACAGAGACACATCTGGGAAGGTGTGCTGACCGGAAAGGGAAACAGCTGGGGAGGAAGCTTGATCCGACCAGAGGCAACTGGATACGGCCTTGTTTATGTGAGTCTCCTGCCCTGGATTGGCTAGTGTCATGAGCTATGGTTGCTAACAAGGTAATGCTGCTCTGTAGTATGTCCAGCATATGATCAAGCACGCCACGAATGGCATGGAAAGCTTCGCAGGCAAACGAGTAACTATATCTGGATCCGGAAACGTAGCTCAATATGCCGCCCTCAAGGTCATCGAGTTTGGCGGCACAGTCGTCTCTCTTAGCGACAGCAAGGGCAGTTTTATAGTCCGGGATGGTGAGAATTCCTCCATCACACCGGAGGAGATCCGCTTGATCATGGCACTCAAGGACGAGAGGAAGCCGCTATCCGGAATCGCCAGCCATGAGGCTTTTGCCAACCGATGCGAGTACATCGAGGGTGCAAGACCATGGGTTCACGTTGGCAAGGTGGATGTTGTGCTTCCATGCGCGACTCAAAACGAAATCTCAGGTGAAGAGGCCAAAGTGCTTGTTGCCAACGGTGCACGCTTTATCGCCGAAGGATCTAACATGGGCTGCACGTTGGACGCCATCGAACACTTCGAGGCGCACAGAAATGAGCATAAGCGTGATCAGGGCGCAGTGTGGTACGCGCCCGGAAAAGCAGCAAATGCGGGAGGAGTGGCAGTGAGCGGATTGGAGATGGCTCAGAACTCCCAGAGACTGACATGGAGCGCAGAGGAAGTGGACGGGAAGTTGCAGGCAATCATGAAGGAATGTTTTGAGACTGGATTACGGACAGCAAAGGAGTACACGGAGGTGGATGATGACAAGCTTCCTTCACTGGTAGCAGGAAGCAACATTGCCGGTTTCATCAAAGTATCTGAAGCCATGCGAGACCACGGTGATTGGTTCTGAACAAAAAAGTAGAGGCATCCTCCTTATGCTTCCTTGTTGTTACAACTTTCGGCGGTTTCTGTTGGCGTTGTTGGCGTTCTGGTGTTAATCATCCATTTGATCCCCCCTCAGTTTCCACGCCATGGTTTCCCTTTGTCTTGGGCTGGGTATCTGACATGCAGGTTCCTTGATTTTCTTTCCCCATATGCATGGAATGGGCATATCAAGATTGGACTCAAAAGATGTCATATGGTCCTTGCCTGAGTGCAACACAGAACTGCACATGTACAACATATCCATCGAGGTACCAAATTTTATTCCCATTGCTTTTTATTTTTATTTTTTATATTCCTGTTTCTTTTGGCGAATAATATTAAGCGACACTGATGACATGTTCTATTTTGAGTCCAAGTTTTCTTCTTCTCTCTGTCCCTTGTGTTTTTTTGACGGAGGTTTGCAGGGCATTTTGTTAGGGCGTATAGGAATCCCACGGCTGGTTCACCGTGCATGAAGTAAACGAGCGTGCAGGGCAGGAATTGATCGGTCGTAAAATAAGTATCGTCCTAACCGTATATATACCGGCAGTCGCTGTCAGCGCTCGCTCCGAGATACGAGGGCGTAAAATTACGCGCTGGATGGCGAGGGCCAGCGTCTTGGATGAGACTGGCCAGCTCAGCCTTGGACATGGGCTTGCGTGGATTTCTCTGGGAGTGGAGCAGGGCGGGATGAACTCCGTAAATGACGGCTGTCAGAGCAGCAGCCAGATCTTGACAGCCATATTATTGAGGTTGACGCAGGAGTTGTTATAGATGAAGCTGGTGAAGTTGGAGCAGTTGAAGAGATGTAGTAGCAGATGCCGAAAGGGGAAAGGCGGTGAAGCAAACGTCTGACGTTCAACTTCGACTTCGACTTCGACTTTGCTTCTTCCTCACGACGTCGATGAGATCGATGACGAGATGAGATGAGATGCGATGCAGCAGGATGACGACAGAGGAAAGAGAGAAGCGAATTGAAGAGACGACTGGCGCATGTCGGAATCCACCTCTGAGCTGCTAGAACGTGGCACAGGGAGAGAGGGAGGGAGGGAAATGGCGGCCAGCACACACATACAGACGATACGCATACACAGCAGGCCTTTGAGACGCCCGGCTGCTCAAGTGTTGGGCTTCAAGGCGCCCGATTTCTTGGTTGAGGCCCCTGTTCGCCTGCCTGGTTCATGATCTTCTCGGTCTCTGGTCTCTGGCCTCTGGTTCCGAATCTCCATCGCCACGAACTCGCACCAAGAGCCAGAGAGACCGCCAGAGATAGCCAGAACAGTCTCTTATCCTCCACGTAAGAAACGAAAATAGCCTCCAAAACAGGGACTCCACGATAAGAAAATGCAAACCCACATTTAAGTCGAGGGACTCGCGGTGGACGGTGGTCTTTCGTGATGTTATTGGCAGGCCTGCGAGATGAGTGGCTTGCAGCGCGGATGCTGAGTGGATGACGGTGCAGGAACATATTCTTACAAAGTGATATGCGGCCGATCCGGGTTTCAGAACATCCTAAAAAATCCCCTTTGCAGGATCTTTTCTCCCTAACGCTGACTTTGCCCTCTTGCTCAGCAGTCGCACCAGCCTGCTCCTTCCACACACACACCGCCAGCCATCCCGCCGTAAGCAACGTAAAAATATGACGCGAGGAAATTCTCCTCCAGCTGTGCTTACCGAGTGCAGAGCAATTAGACCAGCAGGAGAGACAGGAGGGACGACTTGAGGCAGTCTCTCTGTATCATTTATCAGCCAGCGGAGACCGCCATGTCAGCCGCCTTCTCTTGGGACGGTGGCGGCTAGTCAGGAAGCGGGCAAGGCTCAGGGGTTAGAAAGCGAAAAAAAAAGGCTCTTCTCGTACATCAGGCACACTTCCAGGGGCTGTGGCCAGTAAGCATCGGCGCAGGGCTCGTTTGCTCTGCCTCGATGCTTTGTTGGCGCTGTGGGAAGCCGTCGTTGCTCAAGGGCCATATTAGCCTTCCAAAAAATCCCTTTATCTACCCTGCCCTCTCCCGCTCCTCGTCCTCCCTTTTCTTCCTTTCCTTCCTCTCTCTCTCTCTTGTTCATCACCGACATTCTCTCGTACCAAGCTATTCTCTCTCTCTTTTTCAGAGCAGCTTGATTCTTGCGACACAGCATTCCTTTTGGTGTCCTTGACTCTCGTCCGTCTCTACTCACTCTCTCAACTCTTTGCCTGGAGCATTGTGTTCATTTTGAATCGCTTGGTCCGATTCTCACCCTGACTTCCCTGAACATACAAACCGCCTATACAGCTCACTCTTTGGCTGTCCCTCGTCGAACGAGATACTCTCACATACAATAAACCCAAAAAACAACCAACAACCGTCGAAATGGCTCCTCAGTTCTTCAAGGCTCTGACCGTCGCTACGGCTCTCGGCGCCACTCTCGCGGCCGCTCTTCCGCTCCAGCAGAAGCCCACCGTCTGGCACACGACCACCACCGTCATTGTCAAGACCATCACCAAGACCGCTACCGTCACCGGCGCCCCAGGACCTGACTACACTGTCCCTCCAGCCTACACCACTCCTGTTGCTCCAACCGTTCCAAGCAACACTCCAGAGGAGCCCAAGTACACTCCGGTTCCTTCGGCCCCAGCCTCGTCTTCCAACACCTACAGTGCTCCTGCTGAGCCTACGTCGAGCTCTGCTCCTGCTCCTCCGCCACCACCACCAACCACCACCCCTACTCCTGCTCCGGAGCCAACGACCCCCACCACTCCTCCACCACCTCCACCAACTACCACTCCACCACCACCACCACCACCGGTCAGCACTCCTCCAGCTACCAAGCCACCAGTCATCAGCGTTCCACCACTTGGTGGCGGCGGCAGCACCTACACCGGCCCCTGTGGCGCTGGATCTCCATGTCTCGGTGAAATCACTTTCTACGACGGTGGTCTCGGTGCTTGCGGTACCAACATCGACACTAACGGAGAGGATGCCATTGCTCTTCCAATTGACCTCATGGGACCTCTCAGCAACACCAACCCATACTGTGGAATGCAGGTCCAGATCTCCTACAAGGGTAAGACCGCCACTGCTACCGTCAAGGACAAGTGTGCCGGATGTACCGGAAACAACATCGACATGACCCGCTTCCTCTTCTACAAGTTGTAAGTTATCCCTCGCCTCCTTTCAAATATTCATAATAAAATACGACGATTCACTAACTCTTTTAATAGCGGTGTTGAGGCTGACGGTCGTATCCACGATGTTGAATGGCACTTCATCTAAGCTGATATCCTATCCGTCACGGGTACTGATATAGTTTCCAGTTGCTTTGCCTCTTTTTCGACAGTTTCTTTGTACATCTAGCAATTTGTTTGCTTATTCCCCATGAAACCGACGTCTTCGAGCTCTTTTTTCTTCATATTCTTCATGGCGAGAAAGGTCTGGGGATAGCATAGCATTCGTTTCTTTTGCACTGTTTCTCATGGGACGGGATGGGGTTATCGGGGGAATTCAGGCTTGGAGATTCTTCATCACTCGCTTCTTTTTTTTTTTCACTTCGTTCCTGGTTTGCAGTCTCCTTATCTCAAGGACACTCACTCTCAGGCCCTCTTCTCTTTTTCTCTTCTATACCATCCTGTCTACGAACACCTTTTTTACCATTCGTCCAGCCGATTGCAGCAATTCTGCATGATTTCCATTCACATCTTGACCTTTTCGACCTTTTTTCCCACTTCTCTGCACAAAATGTTTTCTGTTCCTGTTTATGGAACCCAGATAGAATGGATTACGACAAACACGAAATCTACTTTATGACTTTTCTTCGCTTTTTTTTTTTCACTTCTCCCTCGAGTCAAGTCATCCAGCTGATCCATTCCGTCTGTCGCTTCCTGTCACCTTCGTTCGTGTGGAATAGAACTTGCTCATCATCAAATTTCCTCTGTTTACCATCATATCATCGTCACTCGTTTTAGAGCCGCTGTTTCTCCTACTCCGTACTCTGTAACCAGGCCGTCGTCTGCTTCAATAAGCGGTTTAAGCGGTTTAAGCATCCGCGTAGTCAGTCGGACGGACATCTTTATATCAACATCAACGACATCACCAACGACATCACACGAGCAGCCCTAGAGGCAGCCCGTGACAAGGGGAATAGCTGTGAATACAGTTGTCTGCTCGGAGGATTACTACCTATCGCATCCAGAGTATCCCTACTCCCTGGCAAAGACGCTCGTGGCGTGCATGCAGCATATGTACTATGTTTACATGTATGTTTATATGTATGCCCTTGATTAAAGCCCATCAACTATCACCAAGCTACAGGTTAAGACTTCGGCTTCAGGCACAGATTGAGCATGATGTTCTGCACATCACTCTTATATTGTCGGCCGGGTTGACATCTATCTTGTCCCCTCCTGCTTGCTTTAGCTACTGGACTAGCTACCTAGGTATGCTGCTTGTTCGCCGAAGCTGTCGACGGCGGTGTCAGTTCTACGGAGCACTCCCTGCGGATCAGTCTGTTTCACTGAACCAAACGAAGAGATAAACATAACTACCTAGACCTAGATACGATCCCCCAGACAAGACGGCTGCGATCGTGATCTTCTCTTTTCTTCCCACAGCAGCGAGACGGGGGACGGGGGCGGGCGGGTGAGCGGACGAACCGCGCGAATCAAGGCCACAGGAAAACCCAGCAGCAGCAGCAATATAAATGGCACGGCTTCGGTGAGAGCGAGCGCCACGTATCACGAAACGGGTCGAGGCTGAAATTGACAAACTGCGCCGGGCCTAAGGAGACAAGAGGAGATGGGATCGACCTCCAGGCGCAGACTGGACGAGATCGCCTCTTCGCCAACTTGGACTGGACGGCCGGGCGAACCCACGGCCTTGCTTTTTGAGGACTTGGGCCCTTTCTTTTCCCTTGCAACCCTCTCCACCGAGCGTCTCCATCGCTATCGCACTACCTGCAGACTAACGTGTCTGGGCAGCAGGCTAGCTGGGGAGCCGAGGACTGGAAAGGACGCTGGGTGGCTGTCTGGCCGGCTGCTGCTGCACCTCATGATGGGTGAGGAGGAGACCGTCCATGGAGGAGGAGGAGTCGATACGGGGTTTTTACGCCGCTGGTGCGAGGGAAGGCGAGAGCAGTTTATAATAACTTCTACGGCGCTCATTTAACCACCTCAGCTCGTTCGTGCTGTTGACGGCTTCGGATCCTTCTTCTGGGGCACTACGTACTGGCTACGGGATACTGTTTACGGAGTACTGGCCGCTCTGTGTTTCTGTGCTACGTTTCCTCGACGGGGTGGAGGGCATCCTCTTTGTTTAGCTAGGAGGCGGGCGTTTTGCTTCTTCCAGGGGAGTTTGATAGACAGACGGCGGATGCGCGCGCACGCATGTGAGTTGTGTCTATTATACGGGGCCATCGAGTCAGATTCGCCTGCTTTGACCCTTTGCCGTCTGGCTCTCGATCTCGTCGTCTCCTCCTCCCCATATTATAATCAACTAGTTCGTTCATGTCTGCGTTTTCTCTGCCGGCCTCGTTTTTCCCATCTCGCAACCTTCTTTTGCTATAACCTTCTTTTTCTCCTTCCCTTTCGTCCATTCTTCCAACCGCCTTTTTCTTCTCTCTCTTCTCTTTCTTCTTCGTTCTTCTCTTCTCGCACTCATTCCTTCAATTCTTCGACGCTTCTTCTCTGTTGCTCTCCTCTGGTTTGATGCATGGACGGGGTCGATGTTGAGGCCGCTACGGTGAGCAGAGAATGGACGTCGAACTAGATCATGGGCACGGCCACGGGATGGTCGCGTTCGTCGTCACCCTGCTCATGGTGGTGCTGTCCGGCGTCTCTGTTGCTCTTCGACTGGCGTCTCGATTCTATCTGCGGCAGGCCGTGAATCGTCGTGATTGTTTGATTGTGGTGGCATGGGTAAGTTGTGGCCATACTTAATTATACACATGTTTGTATCTTCTTGCGCTGCTAACATGAGCATGTCTAGATAACCGCATTTGGGCTGTCCTTCTCGATCCTCTACGGGACCTCCAAAGGGCTCGGGATCGAGTTGGAATCTATCCCCTCGGAACTAAGGCCGCAGCTGAAGAAAGCGCTATATGCATTCTCAGTCCTTTACGTACGTTCTATCATTTTCTTCCATGTCCCGATATCCCGGGATTCTCAGCCTCCTCAACCGCTAACCTGGGTCCTTTTCATTGCATTAAAAAGAATCCTACTATGATGTTGACCAAGACATCGGTGCTGCTATACTATCTCGAGAGTATAACTAAAACCCGCGCCTTTCGCTGGGCTGCCTATGCGACTCTTTTCGTCGTTAACGCTGCCGGCCTGGCTCTGCTCTTTGTCAACATCTTTCGCTGCAAGCCCATCCGCTCGGTGTACACTTACCCGGCCATCAAGGATACGGTTTGCATCAACTTCGTTGACCTCAATCTAGCATCTGTCCCCCTCAATGTTGTGACAGATTTCGCTATCCTTGTCCTACCTCTGCCTGTTATCACGCAGATGGCGATGCCATTTAGTCACAGGACCGCGATCATTCTTATGTTCACTGCCGCCACCTTAGTCACCACGATTACTCTGGTTCGCACTGCAATGCTGCAGCATGCACATATCGCCCAAGTCCAGGTCAAGGAAGCTATACACTGGCACGGCATAGACGAAAACGAATTCCCCTGTATGTTACCCTGCGTTATCTGCAACTCTTCTTTCATTTCCCGATGATTTGAGACAACTAACCAAAGCCATATTGATATCATCAGGGCATGCATCGGAATCATTCATGTGGTCAGCTGTTGAGGTGAATGTTGGTATTATCTGTACCTGTGTTCCCATGCTGAAACAGCTGGTCAGCCGACTCTTAGTCAAATTCTTTGGGAACTCCCACAGATCTGCCTCACGCAGAGACATCAAGGAGAAAGCGCCAATGAGGGGTTCTTACGATCGACGAACCTCCATGACTCCCCCACCTCTCGTTATCGCGGAGAATAGGCGATCATGCAGTCCTGATTCAGCCTACAGTGATATGGATTCCCAGGGTGGTTTCAGGGAGTCTAGGACTAAGAGATACCATTTCCACCATCTCAGCCAAGACAGCTTCCATGACAGAGGCGCTGTTAAGCCAAAGAGGACAAAAAGCATGTTGGAATTGACCAATAAGGAAGCACTGCCCTTTTTAACTGCGATAACCTTCCTGCTCTTTCTATGGGGATTCGGATACGGCCTTCTCAATACCGTCAACTTCCGCTTCTTAATTGAAGCAAAGGCAAGTTATGCCAAAGCCATAGGCTTACATGCTGCATACTTTGCAGGCTATGTCATCGGACCAGCGGCGGCTGGCTTGCTCTTGAAGAAGTCTACCTTCAAACTCACCTTTATTGTTGGACTGTGTCTTTATGCCTGCGGCATTTTCATTTCGTGGACTTCTGCAGTGCTTCAATCCTTTGAAACCTATGTCTTTTCAAATGTCGTTACCGGCGCTGGCATGGCTATTGTCCAGACCACGTCTCACCCTTTCCTTGCCCTTTGTGGACCGCAGGAATACGCAGAAATGCGCCTTAACATTGCCCTTGGCTTCCAGTCAATCGGTAGCGTAATATCATCGATACTGGCCAAGAAGGCATTTTCGCTTAGGGAGATTGATGCCCACGATCTTGTGCAAATGAAGTGGGCTTACTTTGCCATGGCTCTTCTTCACATTATCCTAGCCATTGCGATGCATTACCTCTCCCTCCCGGAGGCCAACGATAATCAGCTCGCAGACCTCGCACGCCAGCGCCAAATGGCCAACTCAGCGAAGATATATGATGTCCGTGTCGTCTGGGTTACACTTGGGTTGGCCGTTTTTGCCCAGTTCCTCTTTGTCGGTGGTTCAGAAGGTATCAACGTACACTTCAGGAAGCTCGCTAGACAGACTAGAATCAAGTAAGTCTTCACAAACACAACTCATATTGCCATAACTGCATCCTAACTTCTTCCTTATAGAAATGTCACGTCTTTTGAATCTCAAGCATTTGGTTTTGCGCTCTTCGCCATTGGGCGGTTCGCAACTGTTGGCGTGCAATTAGTCGCGAAACCACGCACCATCCTTTTAATTCTCTATCTTGGTCTCATCGGCTGCACCGTAGCAGCAGTGACCATACACGGCCGACTTGCCATGGTCGGGGCCTTAGGCACATATTTCTTCGGCAGCGGCATTTACGGCCTCACCTTCGCCATTGCCCTGCGCGGCATGGGCCATCATACCAAAGCTGCTTCCGCATTGCTAACGGCAGCAGTCTCTGGCGGTGCAGTATTTACTTGTATCCAACGATCCGTCGCCACCAGCCGAGGAGTCCAGTTCTCCTTCGTTGTTCCTGCTGTTCTATTCACCGTCTGCTTGGTCTTCCCGATCTACCTAAACACCTTCGCCCTAGCAAAGAGACATACGGACCCTACCCTAAAAAACCACCGGGCAAGAGGCACTAGTGTCGCATTCCATCCTACCCAAGATAACCGCGGAGAGGGATTCGCTGTCCCAGAGTCAATATTTCCTTCTCAAGAAACTATCGCACGAGTCGTTCAGAAGTCGCAGGATCGAACCTCAGCTTACATATCTACGTCACCTGTACAATCACCAAAGCGTCCAAAGGGCCATTACCGCGGTGGCCTAATGCACAGCTTATCGTCCTGGCATGCGTCGTTGAGATCCCCTACTTCAGATAGGGCGTCCTACGGCGAACCAAGTCGGTCGTCGGGCAGGTGGGACAGCAGTCCCAAGTCCGAGAGGAGATGGCCGCCTAGCTCGTCTGCTCCTCCGCTCGAGATGGACGAGGTAGATGCACGAGAAAACTCAGAGAACTATTATTATCGTGCAGGAGAGATATATAAAGATATCAGATGATCGCAATTGGCATTTAGCGCGGCGCATTTTGCATACTTTCTCTTTCACGAGTTTCTTTTTTCTTGCCCAGAAATCTGTTCCTCCCTCCTTTTTTTTTCCCCTTCTAGCATTGAAATGTATATACCCTGCATCCTTCTTTTTGTATAAGCTGGTCATTGGGAGTTGATAGTCAGGATTTTTACATCTGTCATCGATGTATAAACCAGGCGTGCATACCTCAAATCTAGTTAGCACGATGTACAGCATGACCGTTAGGTTGCTTTGATAGCCTTGTTTTTTAGTTAATATCATAATAATTGGCAAGCTGGACATTCTAGATACGGTGTAGATAAAAACGTATAACAAGTAGGAGGTATAAGGGCCGAGACATGCTGAATCGACAATCCAATCCAATCGAGATATAGGAAGGGTAACAAAGGAAAACATTATATTTGACATTAACTTATCCATCTGACTCGTAGACAACATGAAGGAAACCGAGAAACCATGCAAAGGGGAAGGGAAATAGAACGATTGGTTAAAGGACGGCAGGCATGTGTAGCGTACGTAGCATACGCCTTTGTAGAGATCTTCGCGTTAGTTAGTTGAACGTCTAGCCACTGCACATCACACACTCTTCTTTGTTCTCAATGCTGCCTATAAAATAATTAGCTTTAATGCTGGATGAAGCAGTCACATGAAATTGGTAATAACTTACAGGCAAGGACTTTTTGCGAGTAAATGTCTGCCTCTGTCTGAGCATCGTCCTTTTCCTCCTTTGATTCCGGTTCGCTTTCCTTCTCTGGTGATTTGTCTTCAGGAGTGGTGTTTGAGGTTGACGACACAGGGGTTCTAGATTCCTCATCCGGTGCGGTCTTTTTAGAAACAGGGCCTGCAACTGCCTGCTGTGTTCCATCGTACATGGGACGTGGGACGGCGGAGTAAGAGCCTCCTGAGACGGCGGTGCCAACGCGCTTCCTCGCCGATGCATTTGTGCGTGCAACGTTAGTGTCAACGATCTTGAGTTGCTCCTGGTCCACGGTGAATTGAATCGGAGCGGATGCGGCCATGGTACGGAGGTAGTACATGCCGGTCTTGAGACCGAGCTTCCAGCCGGCAAAGTGCATACTGGTAATCTTTCCCATAGTAGGCTCTTTCAAGTGGATGTTGAGGGATTGAGACTGATCGATGAAGGCACCTCGATCAGCAGCCATTTGAACAATGGTACGCTGGGAAATTTCCCAAACAGTCTTGTACAGCGCCTTGATGTCTGCTGGAATGTTAGGGACGTTTTGGATAGAGCCACCGTCAGCGATGATACGATTCTTCATGTTGTCGGACCACAGGCCAAGGTCGACAAGGTCCTTGAGAAGCCATGGGTTGACGACTTGGAACTCTCCCGCAAGTACACGGCGTGAGTAGATGTTGGAGGTGTAGGGTTCAAAACACTCGTTGAAGCCGAGAATCTGACTGGTGCTGGCAGTTGGCATGGGTGCAAGCAGCAAACTGTTACGGACACCATGCTTGGAGATATCGGATTTGAGAGAATCCCAGTCCCACAGGTCAGTTGGTGTCACGTTCCACATATCATATTGAAGGATACCCTGAGATACAGGAGAACCTTCATACGAGGAGTATGGGCCATCGGCCTTGGCAAGCTCACACGATGCGGTCAACGCGGCATGGTAAAGAGTCTCAAAGATTTGAATGTTCAAAAGCTTGGCTTCAGGTGAGTCAAAGGGCAGTCGGAGAGCGAGGAAAGCATCAGCAAGACCCTGGACACCGACGGCAATGGGACGGTGACGGAAGTTGCTTCGTCGTGCCTCCTCGACGGGATAATGGTTCCCATCTATGATTCGGTTCAAGTTCCTGACAACAACCTGAGTCACTTCATGGAGTTTGCCAAAATCGTATTCACCACGAACAGCATCCACAAAGGTAGGAAGGGCAATGGATGCCAAGTTGCAAACTGCAACCTCATCTGGCGCAGTGTATTCAACGATCTCTGTGCAAAGGTTTGAGCTACGGATAGTACCAAGGTTCTTCTGATTGCTCTTTCGGTTGCAGGAATCCTTGTAAAGCATGAAGGGGTTTCCGGTCTCCGTCTGGGCTTCAAGAATGGCGTACCACAGCTTCTGGGCCTTAATGGTTGATCGGCCTCGACCATCCTTCTCGTATCTAGAATGGGTTAGCGATACTAGATCAAAGGAATTCTGGGACGCGGAGAGCACTTACTTTTCGTACAAAGCCTCAAACTCTTCTCCATAGACATCAGCCAAGCCAGGAGCCTCATTAGGGCAGAAAAGAGTCCAATCGCCGTTCTTTTCAACTCGCTTCATGAACAGATCGGGAGTCCACAAGGCCAAGAAGAGATCACGAGCACGGACTTCTTCCTTTCCATGGTTCTTGCGAAGGTCAAGGAATTCGAAGATATCGGCGTGCCATGGCTCCAAGTAGATAGCAAAGGCACCCGGACGCTTGTTTCCGCCCTGGTCAACATATCTGGCAGTGTTGTTGAACACACGAAGCATAGGGACGATTCCGTTAGAGGAGCCATTGGTACCAGCAATATAGGATCCGGTGGCACGGATACGGTGAACGTTAAGCCCAATTCCTCCGGCAGTCTTTGAGATCAAAGCACATGTCTTCAGCGTGTCGTAGATACCTTCGATACTGTCCTCCTTCATATCAATAAGGAAGCAAGAAGCCATTTGCGGCTGTGGGGTTCCGGCGTTGAAGAGAGTAGGAGAAGCATGGGTGAAGTATTTCTGGGACATGAGATTGTATGTCTCAATTACTTTCTCAACGTCCTCGCCATGGATACCGACAGCAACTCGCATTATCATATGCTGTGGTCGTTCAGCAACTTTGCCGTTGGTCCTGAGCAAGTATGATCTTTCGAGTGTCTTGAAGCCGAAGTACTGGTAGTTAAAGTCACGGTCGTATACAATAGCCGAGTTGAGTTCTTCAGCGTGTTTCATGACAATCTCGCGAGTCTTCTCAGATATCATGGGAGCTGGACGGCCGTTCTTTGGGTTGACATAATGATACAGATCGTCTATGACGGACGAGAACTGCTTCTTGGTTTGTTTATGGAGGTTGGACACTGCTATTCTTGCAGCGAGGATGGCATAGTCTGGATGGGTCACGGTCATGTATGCAGCAGTTTCGGCAGCCTGTGAGGCTCTCGTCAGTTACTTTGCCATGGCTTAAGGGTGGGAGAGATGAATATAGGACGAGAAGAAAAAAGAACGTAAACGTACCAGGTTATCGAGCTCAACTGTGGTAACCCCCTGGTAAACACCGGAGATGACTCTCTGCGTGATAGCAGCAGCATCAACGTGCTCAGGATCGAGGCCATAGCAAAGTCTCGAGACGCGGGCAGTGATCTTATCGAACTGCACACGCTCCTTGCGGCCATCTAGTACCATGTTAGCACACATCTGAAGCCAAACACGGCTCTGCAAGGGGTCTTTGTCCATATACCTCTCTTATAAACGAACATCTTGCCGGTCGTGCTCTAACTCAATGTCGACAGCGGGGGACCGGGATGTAAGGACGAGGAGGAGTTTCTCCCTCCGAGTGTCTGATTGATAATGCTCCTTCTGTGCAAGACTGCCTTCTCTCTGAACCAGCAGACGTGGGCAGAGATGGATGGCTGTTGCGTTTGAATGTAGCTTTTTTTTGGTGTCAGGAAAAAGTGTCCAAGTTGCAGTTTTCGAAGCGCGAGAATTTTCCAATTTATAGAAAGCGACGCGTCTTGCTTCTTTGGGACGCGGTGAGACGGGGCAGAATAAGGGAGAAAAACGTGGTCACGTGATGATATCACCGCGATTTTTATTTTTATATTTTATTTTATTTTTTATTCTTTCTATTGTACATTTATTATTAAATTCTATTATGATGATGATGAACTTATCTGGTTTATTAAATAGACACGAAGGGAGAGAAAAATAGACAGCAGATGGTTGAAAGGGCTGGAGAGATCGATCGCGGTTAGTGGAGCTAAGGAGGCTGGACCTGATAAGAGACAAGATATACATCAAGGAAGGGAAGAATAAAGGATACACAGCACACATCACGACGCTTCTATTTGGCCAGCTAGGTAGGCTGTTACTATACAATATGGATGTGTGTGTACTGCATATTGGAAGAAATACGGAGGCGGAGAACAAGTATCAAATTTGATGCAAGAAAGAGGGCTGGGCAGCAAGATTGAAAAACAGCGCTTTACAGGGCAATAGCTCCGACAATGGCAACAACAAGAGCGACGAACATCGAGTCAGCCTTCTGGAGAGCGCCGACATTGTTTGGAGGGGCGGTGCTGGAGGGAGATGATCCCATGCCGGAGCTGGGGCTGGAGCCGGAGCCAGAAGTCGAAGTGGGAGAGACAACGGAGGTGGTCATGGAGCCGGTGCTGGAAGCAGTGTGAGATGGCGAGGAAGAAGAAGAGGAGGAGATGGGAGTGAGATCTAGAGGCGTCTGTTAGTTCTCTTCCGGCACTACCACAGACCGCAATGAGGGATTGCGGTATAACGTCGGGGATTCCACGTACGGATTTTGTATCCGGCCTCGCCGCAAGCATCCGTGAAGCCCTTCAGGGCCTCCTTGTAATCGTTTCCGCAAAGCTTCACAAGATCCTTATTGACCCGGGTGCTGCCATCACCGCAAAGAGTCTCAAAGTCACCGGGGTGTCCCTGGGTGCTGTTCATAGGCTTGTTAGCGCGGAACTCCGGCCAGCTCGCCCATCCGCGGGTAGAGGAACTACGTACTTGACTGCCCCGAGAAGACATGGAGGAGGGGAGGCCATGACAAGGCTGCAGAGGGCGAAGAAGAGAAAAACAAGGGCTGATTTGGCGAACATGACGGCGGTCGGTGGGTGTCAGGAGACTGTAAAAAAGGGGAAGAAAGAGGGAGAGATAGAGACAGATGTGCGTCGAGCGTGAGATGAAGCGAGAGACAGAGTAATGAGCGTGGTGAGCCGAACAGCTGAAAGCGAGCGAGCCTGAACGAGCGATGCCGGTGGTAGTGACGGTGGTTAAGGGAGAGAGAAAGCAAGAAGCGAGCGAGGGTTCTGTCCGTCCCTGGATGTTACTTTTTCCGTCTCGTCCCTGCCAAGCCGACCAGGGCGTTGTCAAACACGCTAGCTCTCGCCACTAAACATTCTACCCGCTGCCGCCAGGGCGCCGGCGCTGGTTGGCTGGCTGGCCCGGGCATGTCCATGTTGGGTGTCAGATTTCATTTCTGTCTGTGTCTATCTACATTATGGAAACACGGAGGGAGGACAGAGAAGACACATGTTGTACCACGGCGTACGGAGTAGTTACGTACTACTAAGAAGTCTTCCAATGCGCATCCTCCTTGCTGATGACAATCTCGGCCACCGGTAGCCGGTTGTCTACAATCTCACGCCCATTGACCAGGTCGTTCTCCCGTGCCCGTTTGTCGGCCTCTTCCTCGTCCTTTGCAATGCCTGCACGCACATGTCGCTTGATCAGTCTCTGCCTGGCAACCTCGAAATCCACCTCCACAAACCACAGCTCGTCTAGCAGCGCCGCTGCATCATTCCATGGCTTCTTGTTGAGCGCGAGATAGTTGCCTTCAAACAGCAGTATCCTAGCCGTGGGTGGGATAGGGATGTCGTTTTCTACAGGATCTTTGACGGCGTGGTCGAAGCTAGGCGCGTAGAGGACGGGGGAGCTGGTGGTCAGCGGGTCGCGCAGCGAATTTATGAGCACTATCAGGTTGGTTGGATCGAAGGTGAATGCTGCCCCGCGGCGGGCAAAGGCGATCACAGGATCAGGCATGGCCGATAGTTGGGCTCGTGTGAGGTGATAGCCATCCATAGCGATACAGGCTGCCACCGGTGATGGACTCATGGTGTTGAGCCGGTGGACGACAGCTGTTGCCAGCGAGGTCTTGCCCGAGCCAGGGATGCCGCTGATGCCCACCATGTAGCGCGCTGCCGGCTCCGTGGATTGAAAGGCCCCTACAATGAAGAATTTGTGTGAGCTCTCGAGGAATGTTCCAACTATTTGCTGCGCTTGATAGATGGAAGCATACCCCATACTTTCTGGGCCAAACGCTCGACCTGTTCGTCCATATTCGGCCTATCAAAGGGTTACGTGAAGATATACACTAATGCTGACCGCTCCTTTGGCCGTCAATAATGCTGGGATAGTATCTTGACGAAGACTCGTTTCTACTCTCGCGGAGCTCTTCCCTGGCGGCGGGACGGATGTCCACCGATTTTACGTAAGCACTACGCTCAAGCCGACGGATGTCTGCTCAACAGGAACATGACCACAAAGCGGATGACTAGCCCGGTACAACATCTGGTATAATATCGTTTATTAAAATCAGATTAACCTAGATGCGTGCGCTGCGGCCTGATGTGGGATCACAAAGAAAAGGAACCAAACAACGATACCCAATATATCTCAACCATTGGGCCATTTTGGCTGCTATCTAGGCCTTAAGGAGATACATAATAGCCATGGAAACGAGAGAACTATATTATGACAGGACCTATGAGCTCCCTGGCCATGCAACTGAAAGGCACCTGGATATATCCCCTCACAAAGCTGGCAAGGAAATTTAACGGCCTGAGGGGGCCAATCCCACTGACCCTTCTTAGCCCACTATCGTCCTAAGTAAGCTAGGGTAGTTGGTATGTTCTACTTTCCACCAAGGAAGGGGATCTATACACATTGAGGCAGTAGAAATACTGTGTTATAGGGCTCTTGACAATAAGCAGATGAACTTTCATGCATCTGCGTATATAAGGTTTTTATTGTGATGTAACGCATGCCTGGATACTATATACACAAAAACGGGTTACCCAAGCCTTTTTTAATCAAAAGCAGTCTTACTTTGGCTGCTGTCTTTGTTGACCGTCGATTGTAATAGTATGCAGAGTGGGGCGTCCCAGGATTTAAGCTTAACCAGCGCCGCGGGACTGGCAGACCCCGTGCGTTCCCCTCTCGCTGATGGTATTCATGGGACAAGGCTGAGGATTCAATGTGAATGATATTAGTGTAGAGAAGCGGCTGTAAAGTAAACTGGCTATAAAATCCGACGTCGCCTCCGAGACTGAATGTAAATAGGCCGCCATTTTTTAACAATAAGATAAGGCTACACGGTAATGTATATGGCCTTTATATCTAACCGGGAAGAAGGAAAGAGTCATAATGCGTAAAAAGTGTGGTAGTAAGTGAAAAGAGGCCAGCTCTTCCAACAGGGAGACAAGTAGAATTGGGATGTGCGGTCACTCGGCGTTTTGCTCACGGCTTAATTCACGATTTAGTTCGCGATTAAATGATGCGAGTTAGGCCAGCGGTCGCCCACCATTCATCTGGAATATCATCTCGTCTGCTTAGAAGGTTGAGGGTGTCGTGAAGTAGCTGTAGGCCGGCTGCTTCGTTTTCGAGAGTGAATGAAGAAGCAGTGGGTGCAAAACTATCAGTAGGGGTGTTGCTCTCAGACTGGGATTGCGTTGGGTTCTGTGTCTGTGTTGGCGTCTGCGATTGTGATTGTGATTGACTTCGGGGCTGACTTCGGCGCCTGTGGCTTCGAAGCCGTTCCAAGTCCTCTTCGGCCTCTGTGTCTGAATTTTCTGAGGAAGAGATATAATCGCAGTTTGCAGAAAAGGACGGGAATGGGTCAAACATTATATGCAGGCGTGAAGAGGTAGTGGAACCAAAAGACGAGCTAGGGGTGAGAGTCGTCGGGGCTGCGGTAGACGATCTAGAAGCAGAAGCAGAGGCCGATGCAGTGGCAGATGTGAAAGAGGAGTCTGCACTGGGAAGATGGTTGTCCAAGGGGATGGTGTTGAGCAGCCTAGCCCAGGAGTCTGACACATCTGGCGCTTCATCATCTGTAGACATGACAGACTCGGCCCGGGGTAAAGGCAGTGCAGGTACTATTGATGGCGAGTTCCGTGCGGTGGCTACAGAGCGGTGGCCCACGCGACGCAGAAGTGGCATACTGGCGTCCATGGTCCCCTCCGTGGTAGAAGAATCATCGGTCTCTAGGCTGTTAGTAAGGCCGGAGTCTTCAGGATGAGCTGGTGCAAACCGGGGCGAGTACGATGGCCGGTTTCGAAGAGTGTTGGGAGCGGCCAGCGGGAGAATGTCCTGGCCATGCATGTCTCTGGGAATCCTCATCCGTCGGCCAGGATAGGTGTAGTTGACGCTATCTCGCAGTAGCCGACGGCCTATCTCGCGACGGCTGAGACCTGCCGGTGACTCCGCGCTGTCTGGACCGCCTGTGCTGTGGTCCACCATCGGGTTTCTGGCGATGCGAGGGAGCGACGGGTCCCTCTCATAGCTGCGGTCCCGGTCGACTGTCCGGGCGGCAGCATCCAAGATCAGGTATCGGTCTCTCGGGTCAAGGACGGCGTTAGGGCGACGAGCAGCGTGCACCCTTCCGAATATTCTCCTGGGCTGCGGGTGCGGGCTGCGTCGAATCGAGGAGCGAGCGGCTGCAGTTGGGTCGGCCGGCGGTTTGGAACCAGCGTCTGCAGAGACGCGAACGCCTGACCCGGCACTGGGGCGCGAGCGAGACGCAGGAGGAGTGTAGTCGAGCCTGCCGGTCCGTTAGTATTCCTGATTAGACGCGGTTTTGGACTGTTTTCATTCGGTCCATGACAAGTGGTAAACAACTTACGGGATACCCATGATTGCACAGCAACGGCGAGTATTATGATTATGCGGGTAAAAAGGGCCGGAATGGAAGAAAGAAAGAAAGAAAATGCAGGTAGATCTCGAGATGCACGGCAGCAGGGGAGGTATACTGATATATTATGGGCCTGAAACCGAGTCGAGAGCGAGCAGGAAGTGAACTGGCGGCTGGCGACGAGCGAAGCTGAACTGGTGGTGGTTTTGTCGATCGATCGAGGTGTTACAGCGACGAGATACGAGGATGAAACGCGAGACGAGGAAGAATCTCAGCCACCACAACCAATAGCCACGCGGGACTAGCTGAAGGCAAAACAGGAGCAGGAGCTGAAGAGTTAGAAGAGTTAGAAGAATTAACAGAATGAGGCGCCGCTGGTCGAGTCGTGGATGGCTTTTGGCGAGAAGACTTAGCGAGTGAGTCTCAGCGAAGTCCTCCCTGTCGATAATTAGATGAAGTCGAGACAGCGAAGTCAAGCAGAGCGATTATCTTTGTCTGTGTCTATCTCTTCTACTTGATATCCTCTTTCTCTCTCTTTCTCGTCCTTTTCGTCTCTTCTTCTTCTTCTTCGACTTCGACTTCGACTTCGACTTCTCGAATAACACTTCACGTGACTAAGAGCCGCAAAAAGAAGCAAAAGAAGAAAAACCGAAAGAAAAGAAAGAAAAGAGAGAAAGACTCGAAGTTGAATTGAACAACGACGCAGAACTGCCTGACGACGAGGATCACGACGTGACGAGACACGAGACACGAGAGACGCAGGAGGAGATAGACAAACCAACAGCAAAAAAAGGAGGTCTAGCATGGGCATTGGCTGAATGATTGAACTTGGCCTTGCCCGCATATCCCGCCTGGTGCCGGCCAGCTCGCTTGCCTGGAAGGCCATTCACATCGCCGGCACCAACGGCAAAGGATCGATAGCTGGCTATCTGTCGTCGCTGCTGACCGCGGGCGGGCTTCGCTGCGGCTCGTTTACCTCGCCGCATCTGGTCGACCGCTGGGACTGCATCACCATCAACGAGCGCGCGGTGCAGGAGTCGCTCTTCCGCCATGTCGAGGAGCAGGTCAAGCAGCGGGACGCGAGCCTGGGAGTCGGCGCCACGGAGTTCGAGCTGCTGACGGCGACGGCCTTTGAGATCTTTCGGCAGGAACAAGTCGACGTGGGCGTCGTCGAGGTCGGCATGGGCGGCCGGCTGGACTCCACGAACATCCTGCCCAGCGAGAGCGTGCTGGTCTCGGTGATAGCCAACATCGGGCTCGACCACCAGGCCATCCTGGGCAGCACGCTGGCTGAGATTGCTGCTGAGAAGGCCGGGATCATGAAACCCGGGGTGCCGTGTGTCGTCGACGGAACAAACGAGGAGCAAGTCAAGGGCGTGATGCGGGAGCACGCGAGCAGGGCCAACACCACGGTCACCTTTGTCGAGCCGGACAGCATCATGGCTGCCCATCCACAGCTCCGGCAGCGATTCCACGACCTGGCAGCCCAGCCACATCAACGGTCGAACATCTCCTGTGCAGTTGCTGCCCTGGAACACGCCCTGCCACGGCTGCGGGCAAATCTGAAGCCCACCGATCTGCTCCCGTTTCTCCCTCTCAGCCCGCGTGCCGGTAGGCTGCAGCTCGTCGATCTGTGGCCCCTCATACCTCGCCGTGAAGGCCCCG